CCTTAACTCTTTTTTTTTCGAATTCAAAATAATGAATGTCCAAATTAGCCATTCGAACCCCTAAAGTAAGATTAACTAGAAAAATTTCTTGTAGTTTCGAAAAAACAAAATATATTCAGAGCGTCATCTTCCCCGCTTAGCCCACCAGCGGCCGAGCGGTAAAGACGCTGAACACTGGTAGTTCGGTCTGAGGTTCGAATCCCGCGAACGGGCTGGCTGCATGGGCGTTTTCGTGGTTTTCCCCATGTGTAACGTGTATACGAGCCAGTTTCCCTTAGAAAGTCCTCCACGAAAGGCATCCCTCCCTTTAGGCAGATAGCCCTCGTGTGCTTTGCCATAATTAAATACACCAACACCAACCATCTTCCCCTCTTCTATAACTGGCTGTGAACTTGACTGATGATATACATATTTTTTTATACATTTGACTATATTTACAAAACTTGTTACAAACATCAACCATACATACCAGAGAAAATTTTTTATTAATTTTGTTATTTCGTGCCGAGGCGTTCATTGTAATATATGATACTGCCAGTGATGTAAATAAGGGTATGCAAGGAATGCAGTCGCATAGGGAGCCGAAGGCTTAGGGGGCCATTGATTGTCCTGCTGAACTACATTTACATATTTAAACTTAAAACACATATAAAAATCATGTATTCGAGTAGTTTAGTGTACCAAAAAGTTTTTTTTAAAAGAAAGGGGGAAAAACTTTACCATACATATTTTCTACAAAAATTGTATGTTCAAATAGTTTTCTTTATGAAATTTATGATAAATATGTTTTATATTTAACAAATGTATCATTTTACATTATAAAAGTTCTTATCTTATGACTTGTATATTATTGCATAAGTTATGTTCGTAAGCTCAGTTGATCACAGTGTGCTATATATTAGTGTAATTTCTTTTTTGTACATTTACCTATCATGTTGTCTGTCAGTTTATAACATAACCAGTTAGTTACTAGCTTGCTAAATTAAGTGAAAAAAACTTGGATTGATGCAGATTTTATATAGAAACTCGAAATATACTTGCATGTAAAACTTACTGTGTTTTATTTAAAAATCTCTGCAAATCTAGACTTTCTTCTCCCCCCTTTTTTAAGCGTAGTAAATTTATTTGGGGGGGGGCAGGAAAATTTTTTGTACAGGGCCCAAGAGTTCTAGCTACACCACTGGATATAGCTAAAACTTAAAAATTTAATCAACAAAAATTATTTTATGAAAGAATATATTCAAAATGCCACTGAAATCAACATCTAAGCCCAGTTATTCGATTTGCAAGAATATTAATAAATATAATTTGCGTTCTATATTATTATAGTCTTAACCTGACTAGTGTTTATTATTCCTAAATGTTATGAAAAAATAATTTTGATGGCCAATAGTGCGGACCTTCTTAAATTGGCTCTGAGTATAACCATAAATTTAAGCACATTTAAAAAATAGTGTATTTCAAAACCGAAGCATTTTCCTTCCCCCTCCCCTTGTTATAAGGTACACTTTTGTTCACGTTTTCATTGTCAGGTGATATTGTAATGCTAATATAGAGCAATTATGTAAATGTATCAATTAAAAAAATAATGCAATTCAGAGCTCAAGATGACTGTTACATTGTTAGTATCTATTTTTTTCTTATTCTGTTTAAAATGCGATACCAGTAACGCATTTGAACTATTATTTATTCTTTTGGAGGGAAGGGGAGTAGTAAATCTTCTTGTGTAAATCCATGCTCTAAACACCATGGTATCAAGTTTCAAATTTACACTTATTTCCTACCTGAAATCTAAAAGTTGGTCATGGTTAGTTAATTCTGCAAGAAATTCCTGTTGATCACAGTTTGTTAATTCAAATATATTCACAGGTAAATATTAAAGCTTTCTGGTTGCCACTTATTCAAAAAATTGTAATATACTGAACTAACCACTAAATAACTTGCTCTTAAACTAAAAAGAAATGTACAAAAACTTCACAAGAGGGACAAAACTTGAGAATAACTAATGACAACCTATTATTTTCCTTAAATTTATTATATTATTTATTACTTTTATTACATTCTACAGAAGAAAAAAAAGAAAAAAAAAAAAAATTGTGTGTAAACAATTACAAACTTCATTTTTTCTTACTACACCTTTCAGATACATATCATGGCGTTTCGATTTTCATAAAGTTTGTAACCTTGGCAGAAAATTACTAGGAAGAGGGGCAGTTCCTAGGCCATTGGCTGCCCTCCAAATTAAATAAATGCTCAATGATTAATAAAATTTTTATTTCATGCTCACTAAGTGCTTACGTATGACAAAGTGCATAAAAAGTACTTACAATGAATTTAAAATATTTAGGTGCAATATCACGAGAGTCCGGCTGCCCGCCTACTTTTACCTGCTGCACCCCTACTAGGAAGTAATCTTCATCATAAACTGTAGATATTCATCAGCAATCTACTTCTTTACGAATTTTAAAATTTAGCTATGAAAAAAAAACTTTCCTCGTGCAAATGTATTTTCAAACAAAGGATTATTCTTATTGCAAAAATTGGTAACTGAGGATATTTATCTTTCGACAGGTACCAATAAAAGTTAGCCAAATTTGTCTTCAAATGTACGAGTAAGATTTATATCACAGTGCAAATTAATAAGATAAATTTCTAGATTTTACGGGGTGATAATCACGTTTGTTTTTGATAACGAAAATAGCACTCCAAACCTTTCTTCAAATTTTTGTCATAATAATGCTAATTAATTTATGAGGATTATTATTTTAATATTTATTTGTAGGCCACATAAAAGTGCTTCGGTAACCGCATGCTTTTTCAAACTGGATTTGAGATGACTGCTGTAACAAATGTGATTTTATGAGATATTTTTTTTAAACTGTCCAAGTTTATAGGGTATTCTAGATATAGAATTTGGTCAGCTCCATTACAGACTATACAATTTTTGTGAAAGCTTAACAATTATTTAAATTATACGGAAAAATTAAATGAAACAAATTTATTAATTATTGCAATGTATATGCTTTTACGGATGATTTATTAGAGGAAAGTTACTTGGAATTTACATTACATAGGAAAAGTCACTTAAGAGCTTATCAATGTCACTAAAAAGATCTGCTAAAGGAGCTGACAATTATAAACTTAATTTTTTTATTCTTTCCTAAATTTGTTCTTATTATCGTGTAATTTTTAAATGTATTAAATAACAAAAACAGTTCCATATTTTAAAATAAGTTCTATAAAACACAACTTAAAACTTTTGTTAAATAATATATTTTCATAACTATGGGAAAATTAAATGTATTAAGCATCCTTTTGCATTTAATATTATTTAAATTGAAATAAATTGCAAATTTTCCTCTCCATTTATAGCTATTAAAGTAAAGTACTTCCACGTGATAATTACAAGTTACTGCATAAAGTCTAAATGTGTCTCAAGATAACATGTCTCTAATGAAAAGGAACACTGCTTCAGTAGAAGTCAACTAGTTCACCATATAATATCTGAATTGCAAACATAATCAAAAAGCATTGTTAATAATGCAAACAATTTTATAAAAAAGTAGTTTCTTTATAGAATAGTTTCTTAACCTTTTGACTCACAGTTCACTTTGAGTTTGTTCAGAACTTCCTATTCTTGCAACTATGATATATCACTTGTCATTTAAATGAATTAAAAATCCATAAAGTTTTACAAATATTTATTACACTAACACTGAATGAAATCATTAAAACTAATCATGCATTTTGGAAACAAAATGGTAAGGTGATTAATTTGCGGTGATATATTTGATGATAGTGCAAGGGCTATTCTGCCCAAGGAGGGAATTATCTTCAAGGAGGAATTTTCATAAGACTCTAGCTTACATCCACATGTGAAAAACCACCAATGCACCCATTCACCTGGAATCAAACTACCAGTGTTCAGTGCCTTTACAATGCTCAGCCTCTGCCAACTTCAGAGTAGTATGGATTTAAGACTCCTGAAAACATTTAGAGTAATGTTTAAAAAGTATCCAATAAAAAAATAATTAAAATATATAGTCCTGTCATAATACTTAGAGCATGATATAATGAATGATGATGCTATTTCAATCCACATATCACTGTATCATATGTATTCTGAATTTGTTATGGTTTCAGATACTTGTATCAACTTATATGAAGGGATGAAATTACATACTTGTGAAGATTTTTAACTTTAATATTTGTATAATTAAGTAAATCTTTGTTCCAAAAAGTGTATTTCTCAATGTGCATAGTGGGTAATAATTCCCAAGTTAGGAAACTACGTTCTACCTCTTGTACACAGAAAACCAAACATATCAATGTATATATTAATAACATCTTTTTATTAATTTCTCTAATAGTGAAAGCTTAATACAATTATTATATTTGTTACAAAATGAAATACTTCTCTGAAAGTACATAGATTATAAACAAACAATGACAGTAATGAAAATAACCAGTTCTCTAAGATTATTTCCAAAGACATTTCATTGAGTGTTTTATGTTAGGTGGGAGAAAACAATAAAGGGCCATCAAAAATTAAACAGAAAATGGGTAAATTTGTAATGTCACCAGTGCTAAAGGCCTCAAAAGTAGTTTTGGACATTATAAAATTCATGGATTGATTGGTGTTTAGATCAGGAGGATTAGTAACAATAACAAATTATTTTGAAGCCCCTTAACTGCTACAGAGGTATGAGAATGAATATATATTCAAAAGATCAAAAAACAGAAAATGTTGTTTTGGTGTAAGAGATGGGCATTTACTCTTGATCATACAATCTACTGGTGCTGGATAAAAGCCCATAAAGACTTCAGTAGCCACACATATAGCCCATTCTTCAATGATACTGGAATGAATGTCACTGGCTCCTGTTAACTAGTTCTCTATGCATAAAAATTAATCAAGAACTTAAAAACACATTGTATTTTATACTTCTGAAAGAGAAAGTGATGCATATATGTAAGAATATAAAAACAAAACAACAAAGAAATATTAAAAGTATTTATTTTCTTTTTCAAACAAATAAGGAACATTATATATTGAAATTTCAACATAAATATATTGAAAACATCAATTAAAAAAGTTCACCAAAAGAGAATAACGTGGACGGATTATCTTGCAACTTTTGAAAAAGTAAACACCCTTATGTAATAAAACTAAAATGATCTTTTTGAATGCAATATCAATATTATCTAATGATTCTTAGGACATTTTAGAGATCACAGTCATATTTTGATATAGTATTTGAAAAAAAAAAAAAAAAAGGAATGCTACAGTTAAATAGAGAATTTAAATCAGATGAATAAATTTTTAAAGCACAAATTAAAAAAACAAAAGAAATTTTTAGCTTTCCAAAAGAATGAATATAAGTTTACACAGAAATGATAATTTTGAATAACAGAAACACATAAGAAAGACTTTTTAACTGCAAGAACATAACTATTTACAAAGAATAAAACAGGTTATATGAAACAATAACAAATAGAAGTTTCTCCTACCGAACTGCAAAGTAAAAAAAATTTAAACTACTATAGAATATAGCTGCATGCATAAATAGCTTGAAAACTGTTCAGATTAAAAATAGAGATGTTTAATTTAACTTTATATTGTTTTTTAAAAACATAAAAATAGAGCTATTATCTAATACCAAAAATAAAAAGGTTTTCTTTATTAAAATCTGCATGCACACGAAATAAATAACAAAAACAATTAAGCTCGTTTTATACAGATAAAATATACATTTCTACAATGAGATAATTAAAGATAGTATATTTCATGATTTTTAATAAAAGCTCATGTAAAATAAAAGTATCATCATACAAAAATTATGTTAAGTACTTGGTTTGGAAGAATATTAAATCAGATGTAAATTCATAAACTATACATACATTTATACAGAATCAAATTAACTAAACACCATAAATTAAAAAGCAATAGTCTTAAATTAAGGTTAAAAAAAAAACCAAGCACCATTCACTGTATTAGAAGAACATTTTCCCTGTAAGAACATTTTTACTAATTCATAAACATGCTGTTTATACTAATTCATTCTGTTAATACAACTACAAATATATAATATTTGGTTTTCAAAAGTCACATAAGCTTAATGTTATAAAACCTACTTACAAATTGTATTTCTATACCACTGATAAACTACAGACATCAGTAACATTTGCATGTTAAAATTCTATGCAACAGAAACATGAAATAAATTACTTACTTTGTTAAATTAAATTTTCTCAGCTTTTTATCTGAACATAAAACTTGAAATTTTCCACAAGAATATTTCAGTTCATAAATATTTTTGAATTGAAAAGTTATAACAGATAATTTATTTTTAAAATGATTTACTAATTACAGCCTTCAATTATTTACGAATAAAAATAATCAAGATAAACAAACAGTCAAGGAACATATTACTCAGGCACTCCAAATCTAAAAACTTTTTACTGATATTTTGATTTGTCAATGATACTTTAGTCAACAAGTGATCATGAGCAGCTGCATTAATTTTCAGGCTTATAAAATTTATATTTACATAATTTTACAGTGATTAAGTACTTCATACCTATAATTTAAAAAATACATAACACTGGTGATTTAAGAAATGGAGTAATATCCTGACTTAAGTTGCTTTGACATGTAAATTACAAACCTATGTTTAATGATCTTTCTGAATTTCAAAACCATTTTCAAGGAGAGGGAAATCATAAGTCTGACTAATCTATAACTCCCAACTCTGAAATTTAAAAAATCTGGAGACTTGTGCGTGTTGCAACTTCAAAAGGATTCCAAATAAAGAAATTTGTTCTTGTTTATAAGATGATTCCAAGACAAAATATATTAATCTAAGATTTAACTTATAATTCTAAATTTTACTTTATATATATTTTTTTGATATTTCCTTTTATTTTGTACTTTTCTTAAAATTTCATATTGACAAAAACCTAAGGAGGAAAGAAATGCATTTATTTAACACATTTTATAATGTGATAAAAATAAAAACCTTAATTGCATGTAAACGTGTGGATAAACTCATTTAAAGAGGCAAAGTAAAATTAAATTGTAATATTTACCCATTAAACATTAGTAAAATCTAGTCTTCATAAAACACATTAAAACAGAATAGATAGAATAAAAATTCATAAATTTTGCTGTAAATCACTCAGAAATAAAATAGAATTTGCACAATTTTAAAGTGATGGCATTCACTGAAATTTTTTTTTAAAAAAAATAATTTGCCATCAAAAGTTTCTTTATAGCACTCCCAGCTGACAGTTTTTCTAAAATCATTTTTGAAAGAAGTGATATATATTCAAATAAATTAAAATAACAATTTGGAGATCTATAAAAAAAAACAGGAAAGTTGGCAGCTCTGTTAATCGAACAGAAAAGAAAACTGAGAGTTTCAAAATTACATTATTTTTAATTTAAAAAGGTTAAATCTTAACAAAGCTAAAATGAATATTTTTGAAGACACAAATATGGACAAAGAGACATGAACAATAAGCAGGAAAGGAGAATTTTATGAATACTCCTAAATGAAAAATGTCAATTCCGACTAAGCGCAAGTAAGTCAGTTCTTTCATAACCATGAAATAAATTCATATATTTCATAAAATTATAATATTATTGCATCACACACAATTGTCATTAGTTTTAATACTAATCATACTAATAATTTTTAAAATGCAGATGAATAATCTTTATTTTTGGAAAAAATACTGATTATATGGTACAAGTCTTTCTATTTTAATATTATGTTTATTGAAATGTTTAGTAGCTTGGTCTGACCTTTCAGAAAAAATGGAATTCAAAATGGAAGAGGAATGGAAAACATTTCATGTATCTTTCATAACATCACAAATTTTTAAATTATAAACAGATTGGAACTGACAATACATTTTCACAACTGTTATATATACAATTATATAATTTCTAAAATTTTATCTATTTACAAATACTCTAATACTATAAGTGGAATGTATGGAAGTTCAGTGCATATTTCTAAGGATCATGCAAATACCATATAAAATAATGCTTTAAATTTAAGACTTCAATTAAATACAAAAACCATATCAATATTAAAATAATCTACAGATTATTTTTTCAGACACAACATAATCATATATTTTACAGAAAAACAGAAATCATATATTTTTACAGAAAAGGACAAGTTAAATTCCTACATCTGAACATTCATATTTATTGAGTGAGGAGAAAACAAACACACCTATTCATTAACTATAACCTTATATGATAAAATTTTCAACAATATAAGATTTGATCACATTTTTCAGAAATAACAGTTTTTAGTCAGCCCACAAAGAATCTCAGCTTGATGCCCACTTAAGTCCAACAACTTTAAATTTATAAGCATTTCCAACAATAGTGACAAACATAAGGACTCCTTAACCTGCAATATATTACTATTTTTCACAACAAGGATGGAACTTTTAAACATGCAAATTTTTACAGTTAATAGCTTTAATTTAGTGAAAAATAAAATTTAATATTCCAAGAGAGGAAATTAACAACAATAAAGTACAGAGAAATATACTGGTTCTCAGTTTTTCTAACATAATTCGCAGATCCACATTAAAAAAGAATTTGAAATTTAAATAGATATACACGATTCATGTTTATATTTCATTTCAAGTTCATGAAAACACTGCAAATTTTACAACCTTGTCAGAGGGGAAAGTACTATTTAAAAAAAAAAAAAAAAAAAAGCACTTTTAGATATAAAATAATTGTTTCTTTTCTCATGCACAAAACTTTATGATTTATGAAATAATTCAAAGTTTGTTTGATACAACATCTTATATTAATAGAAATGTTTTATAAATGTATTTACAATAGCATTATGATATACTACAACATTCTAAATAGTTAATGCGTTGATTTACTGTGATAGTTTTAATTACGCAATTTTACTTCCAAGAAACTTTTCACTTTACTCCAAACCATACATTTTAGCCAGTATGGTATGTAACATACTTTTTATGCATTACTATCTTATACTTCACCTTACTCTAAAAATGATCAATTAACTTACATTCAAAGGAGATGCTATTTGCTGGAGTTTTAATATATTTATTTTATTTTAATATATTGATTGTTGCAAATTAAAACAGGAAAATCTTGCTGAACATGAATTTAGTGTAATAATCAACTATAATGACATTAAGAAACATGGGACTCTTTTTGTTAGGGGGGAAAAGAAGACTCTTCAGTTTGTGGTCCAACTTCATAAAGAAAGTAGATTAAGATAATAACTTAAAAAAAGAGCATTTAACTTTCAGTTATGCAGTCCAGGCCAAGGAAATTTTGAAATGGAACAAAATTTCAAACTTTGCCAAAATCTTGACAAAGTGATTGTCAATTATCACCAACTGTGAAAGATGAAAATGTCAAGCATTATCCAGATATTTTAACTTATATTAAAAACACATATTTTATAATAAACTCACTGTTTGAATATTCAATAAAAATTTAGGCAATCAGCCTTAATTAACTTAAAATTATCTTCCTGTTTATGTGTCTACACATTTCGAACAGTAACATATAAGAAGAAAAGGAGTCAAGTTAGAAATTAGATGGATCATTCTAGAATTATAATCCAGAAAGTACCATTTACTCATAATATCTTTGTTAACTTTAGGGTTTAGGGAGCTTAACCCTTGGCTGTTGGGCAAGTCAGTTGAATGATTAATAATTAATGTCAAGCAAGGTTTTTCTGCAGTAAATGTGGAACTGATATACTACAGCACTGAGAAATACCTAAATGAATTCCAGAGAAGAACGTAAGGTTGAAAGGTAAACTTTATTTTCATTATTCAGATAAACATTCCTAATTTTAAAGCAATGATTTGCAAAGAATTATGCAAGTTTTGGTATTCTTGGAATTACATTCTCAAGCCTATCAATATGCAATACAGGACTATAAAACAACAACTGCAGGAAATAAAAAATTTTTGACATTGTGCGTCTGAATATCAATACAGATCAAACTTAACACAGATGCTGCTAAAATTAAATGTTAGTTTACATATTATAAAATATGCATACTTTTATGAAAATGAATTGTATAAAAACAAACATTTAACAGCTTAAGTATGATATGCAATGATATGTGATATAAATAATTATGATAATGTGCCACAGATATTTTAAATAGTTAAAGCTAGACTGACCTCAGATTTTATGTATCGTTTAGAAACATGCTACCAGTGTTGAATTAATTGCATAATATAGCATATAAATATCGAATTAATATTTTTATCTTTATAGAAGTTACAGGCATTTAAAATAATGCAAAAAATTTTATTCGAAAAAGTGATAGTCACCTGAAGCAAATAAAATAATTATGTTTCAAAGCCAATGCATTCTCTGCATCGATTTCAGATTTGAAGAGACAAACTTCTGAAATAACAACTGAAATCAATGACACTGATTGGGAATTTTATTAATGGCAAAGAAGACAGTAGAAAAAGAAGCATTCTATTTCAAATAGATGAAAAGTATAATATTTTAATTATACTCTATGTTTCTCCAAACTAAGTTTTTATGCAGGGCAGCAATAGTGAAACAATACTAAACACTGTTTGAAAAAATATTTTTAGATTCAAAATCATTTAACATTTTGATTCTTTAAATTAAAAACTGATCTTTTGTTCCAACCTAAAGAGTAATACAAATACAGCAGTGTGTCAAGACCATGACATACACTTCAAAATTATATTTAGCTTTTTGAGGAACACAGTCTTATAAACAACAATGGGCAATTGTGTTATCTGCCTCAACTGTTGGCATTCTTGATAATAAAACAGCTATCATTATTGACTATAATAAAAAGAAAATTATGGCAAAGTTTATATCAGTTATAATAAATACAATAATAATCATGCAACAGAAAAAATTGTCAGCCTTTCATTACAAAATTTGTTTAGATATTTCTCCAACTAAATATATATAGAATGAACATAATTATTTATTTAAATTTATTACACATTATTTTAAATTACAGAACAGTGATTTGTAAATTCAGTTTCATTCCTTTCCAGGCAATAAAAGTAATCACTATAATTAATATTGCAGGTGTAATCATATCTTATTTCTACAATTATTATAAGAAAATAAGAGCTAAAAAACATGAACGCTATAAAAACTATGGCCAATCTAGCTTTACTATTTATATACACTTCATATACATTCTGATATGCTTACTCATAAATTTATGCACAAGTAAAAAAAAAACCCACTGAAGAATAATTCGAACTTTCTTTGGCTCAATTACTTAAAAAAGCTCTAGAGTTTGAACACAAATTAATGGCACAGAACACTTACATATAAAGAATGATAAACATACGAAAAAATATGAAATAAAATGGAATGAAATAGAAAAACTTCTTAACTTTGTTCAAAAAAACTTGAGAATATCTTTGGAATAACAACTTTCTACGACACTGCACAACCAATCTCACCACAAATGATGATATTATGACAACAGCATTCAGCTTTTACAACCTGTTTCTTGTACATCCATGAAATTTTAATCAATTATTTTTTTCCCTGGTTTGAAGCTCAACAGCATTTCCTCTTTTTTACAGGCTTTTTTGGTATTAGTTGAAATGATGAATTAGACATTCTCACTGATTCATAAGGATTTACTTTTTGCATGTAAATTATTTTCTCCACCAAATATTTTATAGCATCACCTGAAAAATATTAAAAAAACTTTTAATTTGAAACAAATACAAAAAATTAAATGCATTGTTCATTATGCCCAAAAATATTTTAGAAAATTGTAAACATATCACTCATTATTTCCACATAACTGCACACAATCATCTTCACAGAGCTGCAAGACATTTCTCAGATATTGCAAATATATGAAAGTAGTGCATCAAATAATAAAAAATATTCAAAAGTATAATTGGCAATATTACACATATATACAAGACCATATATATAAGGAACTGCATTACAGCCAAAAAAATTGAAGAATTTGAATTGAAGAAAGTGAGAATTGCTTAGAGATTAATTAACAACACTCATTTCAAAATTGAAATCAATCAATAAATAATTCGTATGCTATAATGGCTCTGTAAGACCACATGCTTTGTCGGACAACTTGTCTATTTTATTAGCCAGACTCCAAATCATGTCAACTTATTTCACCCACCCCAAAATTGCGGTCTTGGGTACATTTTCTATACTAAATATTTTACAGTGGAATCTTGATCTATGTTTTTCAGGGGGACACAGAAAACATTAAGCCTAGAATCTCTTATACACTGTAAATAAGGAACACATTGCAAATAAATAACAGTTATTACTTTCAATACAGGAATGATTCTGAACCAAAATTTACTTCAATTGAAAATACAATGATGCGAGATTTAGAATGTCTTTGCAGATCCTGTTGCTTTCACAAAGTACATATAAAATACATATTACAAAGTACATATAAAAACACTATTCTTTTGCGAAGCTTTATAAGTCTTCATCAAACTTAGTGCTATCTCTTGTTCTTTTTTATTCTCAACATAAAGATCTTTCATAGTTTTTGTACATCCAAACTGAAAACTAATATGGAGGAAATATTAAAAACCAATAAAAATAAATACATTGCATCTTTGAATGAAGCAACATTTGAAACTACACTTATATGTGTAGATGAAGTTGAAGGCCCATATGGAGCATTTACTCCATTAACTGTTGTCAGATTTATACTTCACAGAGGAGGTAACACATATAATATAGCAGTGTTTCACTTCTAATTTTTTGCCTTCAAACGGTGCAGGTGAGAACAAGATTTACAAATATTTAATACAGTAAAATTATAATTTAGGAAATCATGGATGTGGGAACAAATAGTGTTTATTTATGAAATTTCCTTTACGATCAAAAGTAGGAAACAATACACATAGAAGTATACAGTACAAAGTCCGTAATCTGGACGTCCATATCCGGAGTGATCTATAATCCGTTACGTCGAAAAAAATTAAATTTATCTTTATCGAAAAAAATTAAAAAAATTAAATTTATCATTTAACTATTTTAAAACTGACTAAACTGGCGCCATGACAGAAAAAAAAAAAATCAAAACTAACTACTAAAAACTAAACTCAGTACATACATAATCAAAGCCTTTTAAATCTAAGACATCAAAGAAAGGTATACTCCCTGGTGTTTTGGTAAAAACTAAATTATTTGACAAAACAAAATTAGAAAATGCCCTTCCACAACCAAATCTTTTAACACACTATCTCTCACTAAATTAAAACTAATTTATATCTCCAACCTGAAAACACATAAATTTCAATACAAAAACTAGAGATAGCCTTAAACCCTTAACATTTCAAATACCACACAGAACTCTTTAAAACACCTGGGAAAGATGCAATCTCACAATTAAGAAGTCTACTCAACAAAATCAAAATAAATTCAGTAAACAGATCGTATATCACCAACACTAAAACTGACTTTTTCTACTACCGCAATATAATTACCCAGGTTCGGTTGAAAAACCATGTTTCCGTAAGGATGACATGGGTGACCTACAGTAGACCACAATTAATACACAAAAGAAACATACAATATTAAAGATAATAAACACATTTATTGAAAATTCCCACACATTATAATTTAAGATAGCTGGCCAGACTACCCCTACAAAATCTTTAAATGTTACTCATAGTTTTTTTTTTTTTTTTTTTTTTTTTTTCATAACAATCTCAATTTGAACATTATTCTATTAACACAAAAATCATAGTGAAACATGTCACAGTTCTTAATCATTTTAAACAGGAAGACTGAAGAAGATTAAACTCATATAAAAGGCTAATTTAGAATAAATCATATTGAACATAGCACTTAAACATTAAAACAAAGATTCACTTCCTCCAATTAGTTCAATTAATTTCTGACTATTAAACATTAATAAAAAAATACCTTCTCAGCTAGAAATTTAGGAAAAATATTCAATTTTTATCTACTTAACATGACAGCTCTTGCTTTAGTATTAAACATTTCCAAATTTAAAAAGATTAATTGTCAAAATAAAGCACCAATGAAAATATAAAGTCACTCACGAAATCCACGTACCACCTTTGAGAGACTCAGGGAGCAGCCCGGATACAGTCACAAATCGCCAAAACAATAACTGCCAAATCTTCATCATTGTTTTCCGGAACCGGACCCTTTTCATAGTTCCAGCACTAACCTCTGTCAAGCAGCATTTTAGCTCAATCACCTTCCCGATTTCGAAGTTCCACTGAAGATAAGAGAAGGAGGTCGAAACTGGAGACAACAGACCATGACAAACTCGGGAGATGACGACTTTCCAATTTTCCCCAAGAAAAATAGAACTCCAGCACGAGCAGTTCAGACTCTTACACAATTGGGAAAAATATCAGTGACGAAATCAAAATTATTAGGCCGCAGAACAGGAATTGCCGCCGACAACATGACGAGCATCTGCACTATCCCGGACACTCCGTAACCAGAAATCTCGGAGATAAACAGCTTAACTGTAACCCGCGGTCGACCCCCGAAGAACCGCCGCGTTTTTCCTCCGCTCCATCCCAGCACCTCACTGAACGTGGCCGGCCCCGAAGGGGCCGCCATCAAAGAAACAAACCCGCTAAGGCTCCAAAAAAAATCTGCTCAGTCTTCTCTAAAAATCTCTTTTTCAGTCCAAAAAGCCTTCTCCTGCCTCCCATGCAACGGCTTAAGAAACCTCGGTTGACACTCACAAAGAAACGCCTCAAAATCACTATTGGCTCATACAACACTAAAATTAAAAATTTAACCAATCTTAAGGAAACTTGGACTCCCTTTCGCCAACTAGAAGAAAAGTAATAAATCACCTCTAATATTCTCAGAAATATGGAACTTTCTACAAGATGACAGACCCTTTCTTTCCCACGTAACAGAAGAATGTTTCCAACCTATAACTCTGTCAAAAATATCGCTGTCCCTTAGAACTATTCGCCTCTGAACGAGCAAAACACGTGTTTTCAACCCCCGCGAAAAGAGAAAATGCAGCTGGACAGTGACCTCTAACCTCCAAAGAAGCCGACTCGTGAGAAACGGAAATACACCCGCGCCCTTTTAACTGTAACACATATGCTGCCAAACTTAAGGGAGCTTTGCCGTAAAGTTTAACAATATTAAATATTATACATTGATTTAAAATCAGAACAATAAAAATTCATTAATCACAGTAAAATAATTTAATAGCTAAGAGTGCATTATGCACAGTAAAATAACATGCAATAATAATACACAACAAAAAATACATAAGAATTTTCCATAACAAATCCGGACCTCAAAGCCACAAATTTTACGCATGCGTGTAAAGAATGCACATACATTAATCATGTGCGTAATGTATGCTTTACGCATGCGCGCATTGAAAGAAATGTTTAATAAAATAAACAAATAAATATCAAGCTTTTTTTGTAAAATTTGATACCCTTTAGATCATAATTGCTCTTTATTTCACAAATTACAGTTTCATATATTTAACTGTATAGTTTCTGCATGCCATCTTACCAGATTTAAATTGATGATGTATAATCTGGAAAAACCCCTAATACGGAATGGCCGAAGTCCCGATTACGGACTTTGTACTGTATTACTGTGGAATGATAGTTCTAAATTCCACTGCTAATATGAGCAACTTGTAGAAAATGCAATATATAGGAGCAACGTCCTAAAAGTTAACAAGAATTTACAGAGGTACGAATAAACACTCTCAAATAATAACTGCATGAAGGGCCCACATTTCATTAAAATCGTACATTATTTGGTAAAACTTTTTGAAGAAACTGGTTACACAGCATACTGCAAGAAGTGTTACCTATAATTTGGATGTACAGTAAACCATAGTCCTCAAGTTCTAAGCTCTGTTCTCTGGATGTTTTCTAATTGATTCTAGCTCCTCCAGATATTGCAATTCGGAAACGAGCAAAAGCATGTTGATTTTGCGAACTTTTTCCTTGTCCATAGCAGCCACAGCAACTGTGGATACTACGGACAGATGACGTACATTCCGTCTTCACTAAGAACATACACTCCAAAAACTCCTATCACTGGGCTAGTGAAAATCTTCACAATGTGGCACTAGTATCTTTACATGAAGCTAAAGTGACTATGTTGTGCGGCTCCACTGGCACATTCACTCTGTCTTCAGTACTTCTTCAAAGAAATTACTTCCACAGGTACGAAAATGTGCTCCATGAAAAGTGTTCAATATACAACAAAATTACTGAATTAAATAATTCCAGAACTACAGTAGCAAAATTTGTTAATAACATTGTGTGGATGTAAGCCGATACTTCTCCACATGTTGCCATGTGCTTGGCATGTGTTACAACAGAACTCTGGGGATAGAGTCATCTTCCATAACTTTGTAGTTTTGGGCCCACCATTATTCCCATGACCTTCCTACATTCAGGTTCTGGGGTTATTTAAAATCTACGGTGTACACATCAAATCCACAAGATCTGTCAGAATTAGAAGATAGCATAAAATGCGAGGTTATACAGATTCCTCCTGTGATTTTACGTTTGTCATTGTTGCCAACAATATCCCACATGAAATGTATTATCTTCTGTGAAGGCAGACATGTTGAAAACTGGCAATTCCAATAAAAGTTTTTCTCCTCTCTTCTCTTGTGCTGTCATTGGTTCTTTACAATGCTCTCATTTGCAAATGTTTTACAATATCTGTCATACGTGTATCATTCCAACGTCATTTATGTTTTTCAATGCGTTGATAAATTTTTGCAGGAAAAAATATGCAGTACCATTTAAAAATTTTTATTTTTTTAAATTTATTTATTTTTTTTACTGTCACTGTAACTAGGAAAGGTTATAGTTTTTAAACTATTACAATCTCGATTACATACCTTCAAATAACAATAACTGATATTTCATTTCATTTGGTTGAGCGAATAGGTTTATATATCAAGTTAAAAAAACTTGGTATATCAATACTTTAAAAAAAAAAAAAAAAAAAAATTTTTTTTTCATTTTGGAAATATGTTACAGAATAAGTACAGTAAATTCATTTTATGACAACCATCTATTTTCAAACATTGTTTATGCTTTAAAGAAGTAAGTTGCTTCATTAAATCAATTTTATGGGCCTTCATTGCACATATATGTCAATTTCTAAATAAGCTTTTGTGGTGGTGATTTTATTCTTTCTAGTTAATTCTCAAACATGGATAATTTACGCTAAGCATTTTAAAAAGTGATGCTGTATTTATTAATGCTACTCATAATTTACAAACATTCTGTACAATACACATATAATTACAGTACTACATATAATTTGATTTGAATTCTGAAATCCTGCTATTAGATCACAAATATTACACAGTGTTCAACAGAGCACATGAAAATACCAACTAATTGTGCTAGTACTAATGCACATGCACTCATGGGCAACGATCACAGAATTGGAAATTTCCAACTTAACTACTACTGCTAGTATTGAGTGCACATGCACTCGAGGGCTACAATTGCAAGATTGCCAGTTAACTTTTATTTAGGCCTAAATAAATTAATTTCAATATATACATTATGTTAAAAAAAGTGAATTTATGATGTATTACAATTTTTTTTTTAAATAGAAAAAAAAAAAAAAAAAAAAAAAAGAAGCACAAAATAATAGAGTAAGAGAATTTTTAACAAAAAGAGCACACTGAAATAATGGAGAAAAAAATTTGCAAAATTATACAGAAATAAATTTTAGTAGCATAAAAAAAAATCAGTATTATTGCTTCTATCTATAATTCGTTTAATGCAATCAACAACTGAAGATTTGTTTCTCTCACCTATTTCTATAACTGTAGCAATCATTTTTATATTTGTTCATGAATATTTCTTACTGATTTTTGCAATCAAGAAACAAAAGTAAAACCACAGGACACAATCACTAGTGATTCTGCAGGACCACAGGTTTGATCATGACATTTTCAGATACCTTTATTTCTAAATGTACACAGAGGGACTGCTTTTTAAAAACGATTTTTTTTAAATGAGTAATTAAACGAAAAAGGTAAACGATTTTTAATGCAGGAACTAGCATTTTGAAGTAAAAACAAAATATAAAGGGGAAAAAAAGAGAGAGAGAGAGAGAGAGAAATTTTAGAAAAAAGAGAAAGTCAAGAGAATTAAAATAAATATTGGTATAAATCGGCTGTAAATCGGGTAGACGGGAATGTGGTCAGAAATCATGAGTCTTCCATCTAAAGTGAGAAAATGGCAGATCTGCATCAATCATTGTGGACCATGAAAGTAACAGAATTTTTTGTAGCATATTGCAGGCAAAAAAGATATTTAAACTAATTTCCATACAAGTTAGAAACTTATAAAATTCTCAAAAACAAAAAAAGAACATTAGAAATGCAGAAATTTTCGATCTTTTTCTTAGTAGGTAACAAAACTATACATATTTTACACAATAGTGTTGTTTTCACTTTGTACTGGATACATTACTATAGAGGTAATGGAAATATATACTAAGGAATAATTTCCCTTGCTTATTTCTTTAGCATTAAACCAAACATTATCATTCTTGTATATTTCACTTGATTTCATTTATTTCTGCAAAGATATGTACAGATGTATAGCTGAGAATGATATATTTTGTAAAGATATTTTTAGTACTTAAAATGAAAATAATTTTCAATTTAAAATTAAGCAAAAAAAGCAGTTTTGGTTTGGAGTAGAATTTGAATTTCAAGATCACTCTTCAAGGACTTTATCAATTTCAAGGGTGCTCATCTTCAGAGCAAATTTTCACCTAAATAAAAATTTTATATTTTCATATGCCTCTTTCCTGTGACAATTTGCTATTTTCATAGCAGGCAACATTCAGCACTGCACAATTGTCAATTGCATTTTGACTTTTGCTGCTTTCTAAGCCAAAATACAGACATTTGATAGGTTCATATATTTATATCCTGATAAAATAGCATACATGACAACTCAATAACTAATTTTATTACAATTCAGATGTAAAAAATCAATATAGTTACTCACCAATATGTATATTTTCTTTAGCAGATGTGAAAAACCACGCCAATATGTTATTTTGCTTGCAAAATTGAGTAAGATAATCACACTGTATGGTAACTCCACGTATATCACACTAGAATAAAAAATATATTGTTAAACAACAAAAACTGTTTAATCTAGGAGAAATAAAAGCAAAACTTCACATAATAAAACTCTAGAATCTATCAGCTACAACTTTAGAAACTTGCATATTATTCCAATGATAGCGAAAGTTGACTACCATGAAATTTGACAGGAGATCTTGTCAAAGTTGCACCATTCATTCCTGGAAGCATTCTAAAGGAACTGAAAGCTCTTTATTTCATAAACAATCAATATTCCAGTTGCTTCATTTTTGCACTTACTTTATTTGCAAGTAATAAACCAGGTAACGGCATTCCATTTGGAGTAGCTACTTTTTCTTTGATGTTCTTTTTTTTTTTTTCCTTTTCCAAAATGCTTTTGTCAGTTTCTATTATTTTGTTAGGCCCTGATTCTAATGTAAGCTCTATTTAGAATACGTTGAATACAAGCTTTCTGCAGGCAATTGTTCCAATCTACTACTGTTTTGTTGGCCATATTTAGCCGACTAGATTGAGTCCATTAGTACACGGTATTTTGATGGTAGGATCCCATAATTTTGAAAGCAAGCCATCCCTCGCTGTTCTGTAGAAGGCAGGTCTCAAATTTTAATAATTTCTATTTTCGAAACGCAAGAATAAATACAGCAGTAATAGTTTACATCCTTGTTCCTCAAGTGCAAATGTTATGAGCGGGTTGTTATGTCATGCTTATCTATGATTAGCACTAAATCGTGCTGCCTCTCAACAGTTTCCTAGTCCACAGGATAATATAATAAGTACCCAACTTGATAATCAAACTGCAATAGATATGTCAATTAAAATTCAAACTGTATCACAAAATTTTAAAATAAATGTCTTATGAACAGATTAAAACATTTTTAATTACTTGGAAATTATACATTAATAGATAATAGCCTTTAAATAATTCTGAATGAAAATTAGGAATTTTTTTCCCCCATTTTTTTGGGGGCGGACATCTGCTGTTGAACTCGATTAGCTTAGTCACTATTATATTTCAGAGAGTAAAATTCAATATTTCAGTTACGAGTGTAGTTTCCTTGATGAGAAATTCCTAAGCAATTGAACTTGTTAAAATTAATTACACAACTATCATAGCTTAATACCACTCCCACTGATTTGTTTGTGCAGCATTCCATAAAGACAGCACATGCACAAAATCTCAATTAGCATGAAAGTTTAATGAGGCAGGTTTCTCAGAAATCATGAACACAGTATCAGAAAAGAAACCACAAACTAAATGGTCAGATATGACTTACAGACCTGATATTTTGATAGCAATAAAAGAAAAACAAAATGAAAGTTGATTAATAAATGATTATATATGCCAAGCTTTTGATTAAAGCATTAAAAGTTTGTAGAAAATATGTTAGTTAACAACAAGGTACAAATAATTATTCAGTACACATACTTGCCAACCTATGACACTCATAAATCAGGAGTTTTCTTTTAAAATCGGGAGGTTTTTCTCAGAAACGGAAGGGATTTTTTTAAATAAATGTATATATTTTTTTACTAATGAATTAATTTTAAATAGTTACTAATTAATATCTGAAAGTTAAGTTTCTAATTCTTAAATGAAAACAGTATAAAAATACTTGTAAAAAACACTTTTTTGATTTGTATTTTTTAACAAAAATATAATATTCACTTAAATCAGTTTTCGTACAAATGCTAATAACAGTGGCAGATTTTGTTTAAAAACAAAACTTCATAATTTTGTTAGCAGCAATCTCCATGTAGGCCTGCTTTTGCTAATTCAAGTTTATCTAATGTGCCATTACTAATGTAAGATCTAAATTTAGTCCTTGTTTTCGCAAAAATACTGAAAATCCTCCCACACTTTGCATTACTCTAGTGAATTGTCAGAAGGGCCAAAATTATTCTACACAGTTCACTATACTTTAAAATTTCATTAATGCCTTTAATTGTTTTTAATTAAACTCCATTGGTTACCAATCCTAGATGGTTTTATAACTTTATCCAAATTTTTTAATTGTAAACTGCAAAATTGCGACTGCAATTTATCAGTTGCAACATCAAAATCATGTTTCAGGAAAAAGTAATGAAGTAAAACTGGAAATCTATTCAAAAAGTATCTTATATCTATTGGGAGACATTTTTCTAAATAAAGCTGCAAAGGCAGAGAACAGCAATCTGTATTAAAAATCATTTGGTCCTCCCCCACACACATACACACCCCCCCAAAAAAATTTTCAGACAACACTCAATTTGTCCTTATGCTTTTGTATAAGCACGTTTCAGAACATCGGCCCTTTACCGTGCGAAATCGAAAAATCGCAAAGGTATTACATTTCCTTGAAGTAGGAAAGTCATCTGTGTACAATTTTTGAAAAGTACATGAGTATTTTTAAATTTTTGCAAACATAACTAAAAAAAAAAATCGTAATTTTCTTAAACTATTTCTTGAAAGCAAGTGCACCATCACCACTCAGCGACAAGATGAACGAAATATCTGATCTTGCTTTGTGCTCATTTTCTAATATATGCCAGATGATAGATAGTAGCACTCGATGCTGATTGGAGAACTGGTACACGACGTTTTCGAACAAACGTGGTCTCACTCACGAAGCAAAAACGCAAAATAATTTCTCACTGATGAAATGACTTCGGTTTTCTTTTAGATTTAATCTGGAGAAAAAACAAGTGACGCCCCCAAATCACTTTTCTGGTGCAAAAAATTAAATACACTGCTCGACATTGAAAATGCAACACTAGGAAGGAGTGGTCAGAAAGTGATGAAATTTGGAAAAAAGACAGAGACAGCAAGCAGCAATAAGTGATCTTTATTTCAAAATGATAGTCAAAATACCGAGGAAGAATGGCATCGGCTCAGTAGGATGTAGGACCACCGCGGACAGCGATGCATGAAGAAACACATCTACGCATACAGTCAATAAGAGTGCGGATGGTGTCCTGAGGGATGGCTCTTCATTCCTTTTCAACCATTTGCCACAGTTCGTCTTCTGAACGAGGGCAGGGGCAGTCTGCAAAAGGCCTCCAATCACATCCCACACATATTCGATTGGTGACAGGTCAGGAGAGTTCGGTGGCCAGGGAAGCATCTGTATACCTTGCAGAGCATGTTGGCAGATGCGAACACTGTGTGGTCGGACATTATCCTGCTGAAAAATTGCATTAGGCAGCCCCTGAAGGTAGGGGATTGCCACCGGTTGTAGTACATAATCCAAGTATCGGTGGGCCATCATAGTGCCCTGAATATGAACTAGAGGTGACTTGGAATCGTAGGCAATAGTGCCCCAAACCATTATGCGACGTTGCCGCGCGGTGGGGCATTCCACAGTTACTGCAGGATTACATCTGTCTCCATGTCGATGCCACACACGTGTGGGGCAACTGTCACTGTATAAACAGAAGCGTGACTCATCTGAGAACACAATGTTTTGCCATTCTGTCATTCACATCGCTCCAGTCCGGCACCATATTCCAAATGTTGCTGTCTATGCTTTGGGAATAATCTAGTCTTCTTAACGGACACCGTGAATGCAGGCCACATTCAACCAATCAACGGGAAATGGTTCTGGTCGACACGGGAACATTCAGGGTATCTTGGACATGCTGCACAGAATCGCGGTACAGTTGACCTTGCGGGACCTCCACAGCTTGTCAGGGATGCGTTGATCCATGCGTGCTGACGTCACTCTGGCTGAAACTCCACCCCTCCTTCTTCCCACATTTCCTTGTTCCAACCTATGTTCGCCATAGCCGATGCACCGTGTTCGCATCCATGTGGGTATCAACTGTGATTTGATGTAAGGACCAACTCGCCCTTCTCAGTCCAATCACCACACTCCCTCATAAAATCGTCTATCTGCTGGAAGTGCCTTAGTTGACGGCTGGCCTGGCATTCTCTTCTATTACACATGTATCCTCCGGGACAAAAACAAACTTTCTTCGATAATCCGTCTGGCAGAAAATAATGACATGAATATTGCCCATTCTGCACATTCCTTCCTTTATATCTTACTTCACGTGCGTCGGAGAGCTGCACATTTCACATCATTAGCATAACTCAGTGACGTGCGTCTACTCTAAAATTTGCATAAATTTCTGATTACTCCTTCTTGGTGTTGCATTTTCAATGTCGAGCAGTGTATAAGAAAAATCGGGAGAAATATGTCGCAAATCGTGTTGGCGGGAGAACGGTCAGAAATCGGGAGTCTCCCGCCTAAATAGGAAATAGGGAGAGTTGTCAACTCTGAGTAGATATTAAGAGTTTTCTCTAATGGATTTCTTCACCAGATGTGTGACATCTTGATTGCATCTGTTCTGAATGCACCAACACAGTGCGAAGCACTTTGCTCAGCGGATTATCATTAAAAAGTAAATTAACCACCTCAAACAATAAAGTAGTTAATAGTTGACATCTGTACTTTAAGTAATACATGTTGTAAAAAGCATGTTTTTTTAAAGCTTTGTTTCCAAATGTAGCTAATTCTGTGCTTGTACGTATATTATCTTTAGGTTGCATTAGCAAGAATATATTCGATATTTTAATCTTGTGAATGTTTTTCATTTCTCTTTTATCTGATTTGAAATATTTTCAAAAATTATGCAATTAAATAAGCATATTAAAGAAAGGTAATGTTCTGTTAACAGTACCGGATTCAGAAATGTATGCATATATATACGTATGTACAAATGCATACGTGTGTAAACATATACACATACATGCACACATAAATACATTTCTGAATATGACCCCGATAACAGACTACCAAAACAAAAAATTTTAAATTTAAGTCATTTTATGTGAAGCAATATAATTTTAAGCATACCTATACTAGAAAAAATTAACTTCTTTAACATTAGTGATTTCTCTGACAGATTATTTAGCTAGAATAATGATATGCTTGACTATTCTTTTAAAAGAAAATAGAAGCATGAAGTTAAAAGCAGTAGATATTCTAAAAAGCTATTTTAAACCATTGTGAAAACCCAGAATCTTTAATTTAAAAACTATTCATGTAAGGTTTAAATAAATAAATCTGAAATTAGGAATATGAAATTTCCTGAACCTAAATTTCTATTCAAATAATTATGTAATCTTGGCTATGTTATATGAAATAAAATATTAAATAGACATGCGAAATCTAAAATTAAAAAAAAAAAAAAAAGAAAAAAAAAAAAAAAAAAAAAAAAGAAAAGAAAAAAAAGAAAAAAAAAGAAATTAATTAGGTCTAATAGTGCTAGGGAAATTTATTCATATTAATTGGAAAATATGAATTACTAAATTTAATGACTTACTTTATTTGCAAGTAATATAACAGGTAATGGCATTCCATTTGGAGTAGCTACTTTTTCTTTGATGTCTTTATGCCACTGAAAAATAAAATGTGATAAAACTATAAAATACCGATTAATTCTTTATCTACGAAAAATAACGTTTGTTCCCAAAAAGTATTTTCATAAAATGCCATAATTCTAATTAAATTTATTAACTATGAAAAAATGGCTCTTTACAGCATTGTTTAGCATCAGATTAAATACTAATATTAGGCACATTATACAATTAAACTTAAGCACAAGTAAACTCAAAATTAAAATATTGAGAATTGTTATAATGACTAAATCTAAAAGTGACAGAATTAAACAAAACTACTATTAATTAATTATAACAGTCTTCTCTTAAGAAGACTACTCTCTGATCTGAGTAGGCCGACTTGAATGGATATTTTACAGAATCGCGGTACAGTTGACCTTGCGGGACCTCCACAGCTTGTCAGGGATGCGTTGATCCATGCGTGCTGACGTCACTCTGGCTGAAACTCCACCCCTCCTTCTTCCCACATTTCCTTGTTCCAACCTATGTTCGCCATAGCCGATGCACCGTGTTCGCATCCATGTGGGTATCAACTGTGATTGACGTAAGGACCAACTCGCCCTTCTCAGTCCAATCACCACACTCCTCATAAAATCGTCTATCTGCTGGAAGTGCCTTAGTTGACGCTGGCCTGGCATTCTCTTCTATTACATGTATCCTCCGGGACAAAAACAAATTTCTTCGATAATCCGTCTGGCAGAAATAATGACATGAATATTGCCCATTCTGCACATTCCTTCCTTTATATCTTACTTCACGTGCGTCGGAGAGCTGCACATTTCACATCATTAGCATAACTCAGTGACGTGCGTCTACTCTAAAATTTGCATAAATTTCTGATTACTCCTTCTTGGTGTTGCATTTTCAATGTCGAGCAGTGTATAAGAAAAATCGGGAGAAATATGTCGCAAATCGTGTTGGCGGGAGAACGGTCAGAAATCGGGAGTCTCCCGCCTAAATAGGAAATAGGGAGAGTTGTCAACTCTGAGTAGATATTAAGAGTTTTCTCTAATGGATTTCTTCACCAAGGTGTGTTAAGTTTTTTAAATCACTAATTAAAAATTTAGCACAAGAATTCTGTACGTTATGAATAAATGAATTGGAATGATAAGCCTATTCATTTTGATGATTCCAATTTATTCATTTATTTATGATTCCAATCCATAAATGAATTGGGGAAAAAATTATACACTTCAGAAGAGAAAAGAGAGAATCTTTCAATTAGTGCACAAGGTCTTTATATGGCATTAGATCATTTGGTTACACCATTTTATGGAGTTCATTTCAAATGTAAGATTTTATGTCTAACATTTGAAAGATATCTTTAACTCTAGGAGATGAAAGCCATTTCCTATTTATCCGGTTTGCATTTTGAACGTCTAATCCGTTTGAATCCAACGTCTGTTTTGAATAGCAGGCTCCAAGTTAGTTCAAAGAAATTGTCTCTTAGGTGAGCCCATCAGTGATATTTATAAGTTTTATATTTTTGACATCATGTTATATTAGCATTTCCTGCAGCAAGGTATAGGACTTCGGTGTCAGGATGGTTTAAAAAATATGGCATGATAAGGAAGAACTGGCAGCATTTGTATTGAAAATTGTGAAAACTGTGAAAAATTAAAAAGAAAGTCAGATAGTGAAGTCATACAATTCATTATGTTGAGGTTGCTAATGCAAATACTGGACTTTGTCTAATTGTGAAATCCTGGTACGTTGGAATAGTGGAAGCCATATGTCGATGAAAATAGACATACACAAGAATATTGTGATAAGTTTAAAAATAGCTACAGTAATATATTTCGTGGAATAACTGGTAGAAGGTTTACAGGAGAACTAGAAATTGATGCCACCAGATAACTGCTCAAGTAAGTATAGTGGCAATTGTCATGTGGAGATAAGAAAGGACTTCGGTAGAAATAGTAAAGTAGGTTCTCAGAACCTGCTTTACTATTTCTGTATTACTGTGTTGAGTCATTTAAGAAGTTATATGGAGCTTTCACTATGCTGCGGAAGGTAATGGATATCATTTCCAAGGCCAATAATATGCAGATTAACATTCTAGATGACATAATAGTTGCTAGTAACATGAATGATGAGTATGTTCAGGACCTGTGAAAAGTATTTATACTACTTAAAGAAGCAGTTATAACAGTAAATGCAACTAGATGCAAATTCATGGGCAAACAATTCTGTTACTTGGGGTACAAAAACATCACATAAAGGAATTAAGATAAGTGAATCCAAAATAACTGCAGTTAAAAACCACTTGCTGCTGACTGTAACAAAGAAACTAAGGTCATTTTCCAAATTGTGTTCATAATACAGGACATTTATGAATAATTTTGAGAAAACTACTGCCTTTATTGAATTTCAAAAAGGGAAAAAACTTATTTGGTCAGTGGAGGCAATTACCTTTTTTGAGAAGCATAAAGCTATGATGATTTTGAAATTTTACGATTGGAAATGGAGATTGCTGCACACACAACTGATTTTGCAATAGGAGCAGGAAAGTATGTATGCTGATTACATATTTTAGGGAAAACTCAACCAAACTTGCAGAAATTGCAATGCTACCAAGACAGAGAAACCCTAAACTTATTGCTGGCAATACGATGAACAGTTTCTAACAATTCAGAAATTTATGGTGTATTTTAGCAAAGAGCAAATCACAATATATATGGAACTATGTCACAACCATTGCCTCCATTTGAAAAACAACCTATCATCAAGACTGGTAAAGTGAGCTCTCAATTGCAGGAGTATAATGTAAAGATTACACACATACTAGGAAGAGAAATCTTAAGATTGGTTCTCTATCAAGAATCAAATTGGATGACAAAGGATAACAGATAAGTTGTACTGTGCTAACTTGAAAATTTTTTATCGTTGACAGACAGTAAGAAAGGAGGCGAAAGCAGGTTCCGATATTAAAAACATTTATGTGCATTTAAATGATCCCAACAGTTTTGAATATCCCAATATGGCAGCAGTTAGGAACAAATCCAAGAATTATGAAAATATTGATGACCTTTTGTCTCGTATGAAGGTTACAAATAAACACATGCCATTACAAATGACTGGTTGCCTCAGCAAGTCTGATACTAAATGAGTTACATGATGTGCCATTGCAAGGCCACCTAGACATTTTTTACTTTGCAGGAACACATGTTTATTAGTAAATCAACAAGAATGCAGCAAACTCTCATGCCAACCACTTCTAAAATGACCAATGTTCGGTGCAGCATTTACATATAAGTATGCAAGCTATAGCTTAAGGGCCCTACATTTTTAGGGGCCCTCCAAAAAAAATTATCTAAGTGAGCAACTGTCAAATATACTTCAAGATACTGCCGCGATGCACAGAGAATTAGAAGTTGATCTGTCAGCACTATCCTTATCTTCAGGACAGATGTTTTCATTTTATATGGCTTATAATTCCTTACTAAATGTAGTATTTCATCTCAACGTATTCTGTCTTTGATATGATTTAAATCAAATTCCTCATCATAATAATTTGCTTCCGATAGTGAAGAAAGTCACACAGAGGTTATTGAAAACGAAAAAATTTCAATTGACAAATTAGTCGGTATTCTCGACATAGCAATTATACTTGAACAGCGGAACTTTGTAACTGAACAAGAAATTATGTCTGTTTATAGAATTAAAGAGAAAGTATTATCACATAAAACAAAGCAACTTAAACAATTTACATTAAAAGAAATGTTTAATAAAGTAAACAAATAAATATTAAGCTTTTTTTTTTTTTTTTTTTTTTTTGTAAATTTTGATACCCTTTAGATCATAATTGTTCTTTATTTCATAAATTACGGTTTCATATTTTTAATTTTATAATTTCTGCATGCCATCTTACCAGATTTAAATTGATGATCTATAAACCGGAAAAATCGATAATCTGGAATCGCCGAATTCCCGACGAGTCCAAATCAACGACTTTTGACTGTATACATTTGCTCAGAATATTAGTATGCACACAAACATACACAGCATTTTAAAATAAGGAAGATAACATAAGTAACTTTTTTAAAAATTAAATTGACTCCTCAGAAAAGTACTTGACAGTTATAAAAAAATTATCTGAATAAAACACAAAGATTACACATTTATGCTATTCATTAAAGTATGAATGTTAATGAGATAATTCATAAAATACAGTCAAAAGTCGTTAATTCGGACACCCATAATCCGGAATGATCTATAATCCGGACCTCAAAGCTACAAACTTTCTGCGCATGCGTCACGTTCACGCATGCGCACAGGCGTTTAATAGTGCACGTAAGACCTTTACGTCTGCGAATATGTTTGTGCGCATGCGCGTTTAATGTGTGACGGACGGGATAAGCTAAGCTAAAAATTCAGTTAATGTTACAGATTGCGTTGTTCCTTAATCTTCGAATTGGATCCGGCTTATTATTTTTTGCAGACTGTTAGAGCAATTTCATGAAAGTAAGCTTGAACTTTCGATTATGTCAAATAGAATTTCCGATATATATTTACTAATATGTAATTTGTATCTACAAAGCGAAAGTATGTTTTGAAATCCGAAATCTGTGCGGATTGGAAGTTGATCTGTCAACACTATCCTTATCTTCAGAGCAGATGTTTTTATTTTATTTGGCTTATAATTCCTTACTAAGTCTAGTATTTCATCTGGATGTACTCTGTCTTTGATATGATTTAAATCAAGTTCCTCGTCATTATAATTCACTTCCGATAGTGAAGAAAGTGACCCAGAGGTTATTGAAAACGAAAACATTTCGATTGACAAATTAGTTGGTATTCTCAACACAGCAATTATAGGACTTGAACAGCCGAACTTTGTAACTAAACAAGAAATTATGTCTGTTTAATAGAATTAAAGAGAAAGTATTATCACATGAAACGAAACAACCTACATTGAAAGAAATGTTTAATAAAGTAAACAAATAAATATTAAGCTTTTTCTTTTTGTAAATTTTGATACCCTTTAGTTCATAATTGTTCTTTATTTCATAAATTACGGTTTCATATTTTTAATTTTGTAATTTCTGCATGCCATCTTACCAGATTTAAACTGATGATCTGTAATCCGGAAAAATCGATAATCCGGAATCGCCGAAGTCCCGACGAGTCCGGATTAACGACTTTTGACTGTATATGAATATAACTTACTTTTATTACAGAATCCAATGTGGCTAACCTGGAAAAAAAAATTTTCTTTAAACACATTAAGGAAACATGTAAATTTATATAAAAAAAAAGTACATTTATTATCCAGGGAGAGTGTAATTGAAGAAATTTTACAAATGACTACAAAAAATACACATACAATTTATAAGAAATAAACTGAAATGTTTTTATATTATTATCAATTCTCAAACAGTGTTCATAGCCACATTTTTTTAGTTAAAAAAAATAAGCACCTATAAGCACTTTTCAAGCACATTTTAAGAAAAAAAAATAAGCACCTGTCTAATTACATTATACACAACTGCATAACCTTAAAAATTAGACTTGTAATTTAAAATATGAGAAATGCAGTATTTATTAAGAGAGAATAAGCATTACCTCAACCATGGAAAATAATTACTTTTTTTTTTTTAATTTTAAATAACAGTTCAATTTACAGAACTAGTTTACAATGAGAGAAAAAAAAAAAAAAACTATGCAGAACTAAACTATATTACAAGATTTAATGATGAAATTTCAGTTCAAAATAGAGAAAATAAATAATAATAAGGCATATTTATTGTATTCGCTTGGAACCTAATAATAAATACAATTTATTTTTCCACTCATATTGATATTTAAATAATTTAAATCTAAATTCTGAACATTTTCTAAATTTTCATTGTATATCAGTTTTCCTTAACAGATATTGCAAGCAAAGTAATTTAAGTAAAAAAGAGGAACATTTCTGAAATCAGAAGACAGAAATTTGCTTCATGCAGTCATCCTTTAACAGTAAAAGCTTAACTAACCCGCATGCTTGGAAATTGGGGAATATTCAGACAGTTGAGTGTAACTTGAGAAAGAGAAGCGGAGAGGGGTAGACTGTAGCTGCTCTTTAGATTTTTTCGCTAAATAAATGCTTTTGACATTTTGATATATGCATCATATAAAAATAAACCAATGGAACTGAAAAATATTCTGCTTAGCAAGCACAGTAAAACACTTTTAAGTGTTATAAACAAATCTTGGACAGAACATCAAAATTAATTATCTCTGCAAAATATCGCAAACAGTGTGCAATACGTGTGCCATAATTCTTCCCTACATGATTATTACGTAATCGGAATCAACAGCTGCCGGTATTGGAAGAATAAAGAACTAAATAACTGGGGTGTTTTTCATTCTAATTTTCAACAGAAGGCTTTAAATTTCCGGAATAGAATCATTCTTTGCTTGGGTTGGTAGACCGCAGAACTTTTAGTCCTATTCAATCCAGATTGGAAAGTGACACACAACAAAAAAAAAAAAAAAAAAAAAAAAAAAAAAAAAAAAAAAAAAAAAAAAGAGTCCGTTGCTTGTTTTGCAGAGAACTGTAACAGTTTCAATATTCGAGATTTTGTGGAAAAAGGGGAGAACCTCCCAATCTTCGTATAATGTATAATGTATTGGCCAAAAAAATGAAATTATTTTGACTATTCGATTACTTTCCCTTTATTTAAGCCATTCCGAATATTATTCCTTAACAAAGATTAGAAAAGCTGATCTTTGTTAAAGCACAACCATTTTTGGAAGTTTACTATACTTCAGCAGTTACTGCAACTATGTTATTATAAACATTCACACATATACTCATAATATAAGCATAATAATTATAATAAACACGAATATGAACTGACCAAGCGGAACGAGAATACAAATTATTAAGATCTTGATAGAAATTCAAACGTGTGTAGTATTTGGGTGGGAGGAAAAGAATGCCAAATGTACCGGAATTTTCTACTGCTTTCGCAATTCTTTGACCAATAGAACGACGGGCACCTGTCTGTACTCTTTGTGCACACCAAAGGTTATGTTAATGCAGAGAAAGGGGGAAAAGCTATTTCCAGGAGTATGATTCACCATCTGACATTCCATATTAGGAAGAAAAGTTGTTTATTTAGTTTCAGCTTTGGTACGGGGAAAAATAGCACATTCATTTTAAAAAAAAAAGCACTAAAAGCAAAAAATAAGCACTAAAAACAAAACAAAAAAAATAAGGGCTTTAAAGAAAAAGTAAGCACCTATAAGGGCCTTTATATTTTTATTTTCAAATATAAGGACTTATAAACGCTTATAAGGACCGCTACGAACCCTGTCAAAAATCATGTAGTTCCTAAATCAATTCAAAACTGCTATAAGAGTAAACTATAACTAAATTAAATATAATAAATAAATTATTTAGCAAATTATAGCTACTTACCTTATAAGATCAAAAACAATAATAGCAGCCTGTCTGAAAAAGAAATGTCCAAATAAATACCACTAAATTTACGATATTTCAAATAAAAAGCACATTTAAGGAAAGATATTTATAAATATACATACGAATGCCTATAATATGTTCCAGTCATGTATCCAAATCTTTCATGTCCAGCTATATCCCTAAAAATATAAGATATTAGAAACTCAAAATTTAGCAAAAAGTGGAACATAATAAATCCTTTATAAAACTTATGGTTCCAAATAATTTTGGTTTTCTGTGAGAGGTGATGTTCAACACTGATGTTTATTTATGCTCTAAAAATAATTATTTTCAAAAGTAGCTGCCACTAGAAATGTAAATTAATTCAAATTAATCAAATTCATTCATGCCAATTGTTACTACACAGGATGTCTCAAATAAGTGTGTTGGGAGGTTACAAGGGGGAAATGCATTATGAATGGTTTCAGTACATAACATCATTCAGGAGATATGGAATTTGTAAATACATGACCTGACATTAATCCTGTCTGGCTGAATCAATTGATTCATTGTTCACATTCAGTTAGCCTTCAACAACATTCAGACAATAACAGGTATATTTGAATATGTCTCACAGTCCATAATCCATCGGCATAATGTTGTTTGCATCAACATCAACAACTGCCAGTTTGAGAACTTATTACAAGACAAATTAGGCCTGCGATTTCATCACAGTATCTTTTTGCTTGGCCTAAAGTGACATTAAAAGATTCTAAAATCACAAACCTTTTGAATGATGTAGTGTGACAAGATCATTCCAATGGCATTTTATTTTTGCTGACCAACTGAATGTGCCATGTAATGAAGGAATCTTAATGAAGAAAATGTATGATTAAACAAACTACATTTGTGTTCAGCATCTTTTACTTTCTGGCATGAGCGAAGACTACACAGCCATTTTAATTCTGAGTCGTTTTAAATTCATCTTTCTTGAAGAAATCAGATTAGTAGCTTCTTTATCTCTTCACAAATTCAAAATCATAAGATTCAGGTTAAAGGCAATTACCATTAGGGAAAAAGGCAAATCAAACTGGCAACATCAAGGAAATATGCCAAACCAAAGAAAAGTGGTAAATGGTATAGCTTTAAGAGAAAAGTACTAATGCTCTTCATCCCATGGACTGAAATTAATCTTTCCAGGATGACTCATTTAATTATGGAGAAATGCACTTAGGGTATCTGCCTTTTTACAGTAAAAGATGCTCTTGTAAAGGCCTTAACAAAGAAAACTGGCATCTATTTACATTACATATATTCATCTTTATATATTAAAATTGCAAGATTTCATTAAAAATTTCATTCAATAAGATATCACACCAATGCCATATTACATACAAATGAAGATCCTAAAGTATTAAAATATATAATCTAAATGAATTTAATTTGCAAATTATTTAGGAAGTAACATGAGAAAACAAGTGAGTGCTGTTTTAAAGGTATCATGTTAGTTACTGATTGTTACTTTCATCTGATTGTACGCTGTGATATATTTCACTTTTAGTTTGTAAAATCCAACTTAAGATGGATTTATTTAAACAATATATTATTTTAAATAATGAAATTTACAATAGATTTTAATTTGTTTTAGCAATTTTTTGCATTTTTATTTCTAGTTTATTACCTGCAGCAGTAATTCACTACAGACACAAAGGGGGCTAAGTGTCAACCAGTAGCTAAAATACACAAATCTATTTACAAGAGCACCATTACAACTGTTAGTAATCCTTTCTGGATTCAATCACAGCAAATCTAATGAATCAACTATATTGTTTTTTACTACGCACACAACAAGAATATTAACTTAGCAATCTTTGCTAATTTTCCAAATTTTAAATTTAGGCAAATAGGTCACTTCAGAATGGTTAAAAACATTTATGGTTTTAAGAACCAGTCAGTGATTAATGAACTGATGGTTTTGAGAGTGGTTTGGCATTGATCTTTCTTCCTATGTCAGATCATTCTTAAAATTCACTGAATTTTATTTTAAATTTATGCCAATCTCATTTGCATTTTTTAACTAATTTTAAGTTTTACATTTGCATCTTTTTTTCTTCTAATTGATTTTCCAAAGGGCAGAGTACTTAAGGGTTATCTACAACAAAATAAATGCCATTGTAAAATGACTTCCAAAGTGAAATCATTGATTATCTTGTATTGTGTTTACATTTTAAGCTGCACAGCAAGATGCACCAAAATTATTTGGAGCCATGAGCAGTTATCAATGGGAATAGATACTGCATATAATACTGTTTACCTTTAGAAAAAGACTTGGAGAACATTTTAAAGCTATTATTAATATTGCAAGGATTAAAACTTGCTTAAAAACATGCAATCAATATTTTATGCTGGACATTATTTTTGATATTACCAGTGATTTGACAAATTAACTTAGTAGTTAGTAGTAACTTAAAATTTATGACAAGCCTCAAATACTGAATTCAAACATTACCAATTTAAAGGCAAGTGACAACATTAAGAATAAAACAATTCAAAATATTTTTTAAATGAATGCATACAAAATTCTTATACCTAATATTGATTTATGCAGGACAAATTTTTCCTTTCCATAAGGGGCTTAAGATGATTAAAATGTAATAAAAAATAGTAATACATTTTGCAACAATACAGTCTTGACTGATTATCAGTAATTCCCTTCTGTGTTTTTATTAGACATATTTTGCAAGACTAAATAACTGTTGGTAAAATAACTCATTAAAATTAACATACATCATCCTAGAAGAGATATTCCTTTTTCAAATGCCACTGCCAACAAGCTTAATTAGTTTACTTTCATCGTCCTATTATGATACTTTGCACCAGAACTTCAAAACATAACAGACAATGATTAAACCTGTTTGCTCGTTGATTTGTGCAACTACATGCCTTGGGTTAAAATACTGCAACAAGAATCAGTATAATATATATAAATTTGAGAGATAATATTTTCAAAAGTTAAATTGAACCTTCTCCTTCAGCTACAGGAATAAAAATAAATGAGAGGAATCAATCTTATGCAATAACAACAGAAAAAAATTCAAAATTCCACATTAGGAAGAGGAAATAAAGCCATTGGAGGCATCATTTCAATAACAAATGAAAGCAATTATGAAATAATTTCTTAAAGAACTTAAGGATTAGAACTAGGGATATTAAACAGAACTAAGATTTTTATGCATAGAAAATGCTTCAAAGAAATCTAATTCACCAACAAAAAAATACACAAGTATTAAAATATAACTTTATCGTTTTTACAATGCACATTTCAAAGAAATGCAATGTACAATATAAAAATGTTGGCAACCACCGTTGATTTACCTAGCACATGCGCACGATAAGCAAATTCTCTGCTGCGTAATACTTTTCTATGCAGTTAGCCAACGTCAATGGCGAGTATCACACGTAAGTGAGAAGTGCTAAGCGCTGTATAATATTATGTTTCTACTCTGTTGTTCAACATTTTCATAGCTTAAATAAATCTTTGTCATGTATATGGAAGACGTCATTTTATTTTTCATTGGTTATGGGCCCAGACAGTGCTTAACTGTGCAGCCCAACCGCCATTGTTAAATTCTTTCGGCAAGCCAAGCTGCATCAACTGAAATGAAAATGATGATGACAAATACAGTGTCAATTGAAAAGCTAAACAAGGACAACTTTAACACGTGGAAGTTGCAAGTGGAAGTAATACTGATTACAAATGATATTTGGGACTATGTAGCTGGGAAAATTCCGAAACCAGAACCTGGTGATGAAGGATTTACAAAATGGAAAACTACTGACCAAAAAAGCACGAGTGGATATAATCCTGTCCATCTCACCCAGTTAACTTCCACAAATAAAGAATTGTGTAATATCTCATGAACTATGGAGAAAATTGCATTCTATTTACAAATTGAAAGGACCAGCTAGAAAGGCCACAATTCTAAAAAAAATTTCTTTTTACAAAAATGAGTGTTTCTAAACAAATGATTGATCATCTAAATGATTTTTTCATTCTTGTGGACAAACTGAAAGAAATGGAAATAAACATTGTGGATGATTTGCTTACAATATTGCTTTTATATAGCATACCGGGCATCTTATGAAAGCTTTCGAATAGCCATCGAATCTCATGATGAACTGCCTTCTCCAGAAATGCTGAAAATTAAACTGTTGAAAGAAGCTAGCGCTCGCAAAAATAAAAGATTCATCGTTTTCTGAACCTCAACATGCATTCTATTCAAAAGATCGGAAGTGTACTCAACGACTGGTTCCTAAACCGAAACCAGACACGTTTACAAACCGAAGACAATATCCAGTTAACTACAGATGCAACTTCTGCCATATTCTATGGGCATGGAGCATTGGAATGTAGGAAGAAAAATAGAGAAACTAAAAGTAAACGCCTTAGTGAAACTGCAATGTCTGCAGAAAATCATAATTCCTTGGAGCAACAAAAAGCCGTATCATGCACAAATAGTAATTCTAAAGACATTTTTTTCTTGATAGTAGTGCAACATCGCATATTTGTAACAGCAAGAAACTGTTTAATGTTACCTCAGGAATTTCCTGGAACAGTTCCAGGAAATTCCCGAGGTAGGTGATATTTATATTAAATTAGCTGTTGATAAAATAGTTCAAGCTATTGGAAAAGGAACTATTAAATTTAAAGTTCATATAGGGTCTAAAGCCGAAAATATCAAACTTAAAAATGTATTGTGTGTACCTGATTTGAAAAATAATTTAATCTCAGTGTCTAAACTAACTGCAAATAATCTTTCAGTAATTTTCAAAGAAAAATGTGCTCAAATAATTAATTCTAATAACGAAACAGTAATTTTAGCTATATGTGATCTTTATCATATTAAATATCATATCAAATATTGTCATGCCAATATTTGAATCTGTATCAATTGCTAAAGAAACAGATCAGTGGCATATAAGATTTGGCCACTTAAATGAAAATGATCTTAAAAAACTTCAATTAAATAACATGGTTAGAGGTCTTTCTTTTTCTCAAAATGATTCTCTTTCTACCTGTAAGGTATGCATTCAGGGTAAACAAACCGCAACCCCCTTCCCAAAGAATCTGAATATAGAAGCACTGAATTGTTAAATCTAATTCATCCTGATTTGTGTGGTCCCATGAGAACTGAATACGTGGATCATTTTATTTTGCAACATTTATCGATGATAAATCTCGAAATGTTCGTGTTTATTTTATAAAATCTAAGGATGAGGTTAAAGAGGCTTTCATAAATTTTAAAGCATCTTTTGAAAATAAACTTAACTCTAAAATCAGAATTCTGCGAACCGATAACGGGCTAGAATATTTAGGGAAAGACCTTAATAAATCTCTTAACGACACAGGAATAAAACACGAAATGAGCACTCCTTACACGCCAGCCCAGAATGGCGTCGCAGAAAGATTAAATCGCACTTTAGTTTCAACGGCGCGATGTTTGTTATTGCAATCCAATCTGCCTCAGAAATTCTGGGCCGAAGCCGTCAATGCGGCTGCTTACATTCGAAATCGCTGCCCAATGCGAGGTTTAAACGGCAAAACAAAAACACCTTACGAAGTGATGTTTGGCAGAGTACTCTCATTTCAGAACCTTTGGCCAAAAAGCATTTCCGCTAAATAAAAGGCCAGGAATAGGCAAATTTGATATTCGATTTAAAGAATGTATTTTTATTGGCTATTCTGATGAATCAAAAGCAGGATAAAAAATTTGGGATCCTGAGGCACGTAAAGTGATAATAAGCAGAGATGTAAAATTTATTACCGAGTTTGAAAACTGCTGTAGCTATGACTCAGAGCAAGAAATATATCTGCGTCTCGCTCCAGAGGTAAAAAATTATAAATAAAACATGTTGTGATAAATCCTCCACCTCTGGACAGCAGCGATCGCCACTAGACTTTGAAAAGGAAAGCGGAAGTGACTTAGCGAATCAATGCTTCCTATGCTGATTAAAAGGGGGCCTGGTTGACCCAAGATAATAATAGGTTTTTCAGGAAGCCTTAAAAAGGAATATCACCATACAGTTTTAAATAAAAATTAACAAACTCAAAATGTTGTTGAGGAAAGCATTAATCCTGCGGTGCAAGAAGCATTAAATGGACCATATGCTGAAAATTGCCATGCTGTCAGAATATAACTCGCTTGTTCAAGAAAAGGCTTGGAAATTAGTAAAAAGACCCCCAAACAAGAAAGTTAGTGGTAGTAAATGGGTTCTTAAATTAAAATATAATCACGATGGCACTATCGAAAAATACAAAGCTAGGCTAGTTGCTAAAGGGTGCACTCAAATCCGTGGTCTCGATTTCACTGAAAACTTTTCCCCTGTTGCTAGATTAAGTTCCATAAAAACAGTTTTAGCCTATGCTGTAGAACACAGTCTCAAAGGTTATCAATTAGATTTTGTAATGGCCTACATAAATGGAAATTCAAATGAAATCTACATGGAAATTTCCAAAAGTTTTCGTGACGAAACTAATTCAGATAAAGTGTGTCTTTTAAAGAGATTATATGGTCTTAAACAGTCAGGACATCAGTGGTACAAAAAGTTGGATGAAAAATTAGAATCTATGAAATTTAAATCTCTTAATTCAGATAATTGTGTTAATATTAAAAAGATGTCTAACAGTGAAACTATTATAATCGTTTATGTAGACGATCTTATCGTTTTTACCGATTCTAAGCAAACGTATGAAACAATTCACGATAGGTTAGCCTCTGCTTTCAAAATGAAAGACTTGGGGAAATTACATTATTGCTTAGGCATAAAATTTTACCAAAATGAGAATTCAATTAAAATTTCTCGAAAGAAATACGTTGATGATATTTTAAATTGGTATAATATGCAAACTGCTAAATCCGTGTCTTCACCTATAGATAATAGCAAAAAATTATCAAAAGAGACGACTCCTAAAAACAAAAACAAAAAAAATCGCTGACATAAAAAATGTTCCATTTAGAAATCTGATCGGATCACTAATGTACCTTTCAGTAGCTACTACACTAGATATCCCATATGCCATGAATGTTTTATTTATACGGACACAGAAAACCACTTATTGCCTTTGTGGATGCATATTGGGCATCAAATGTCGATGATCGAAAATCCTACACAGGTTTTTGTATATATATTAAGTGGTTCAGCCATAACCTGGGAATCGCGAAAACAACACAGTGTAGCTCTATCTTCAACGGAGGGGAAATATATGGCTTTGTCTGAGGCCGCCAAAGAAACCGTCTACCTACGTTGTTTCCTGAAAGAGCTGGGTTACAACGTAGAAACCCAACAAGACATCAAGATCAAAAGACAATCAAGGAGCTTAGAAAATTATGAAGAACTCGGTTTTTCACTCCCGTACAAAGCACATAGACATTTGCCATCATTTTGTGCATGAAGTATATGAACGCAGTGAATTTGATGTGCAGTACATACCTATCAGTGAAATGGGAGCTGATGTGTTAACCAAACCCCTGACTCCTGTTAAACATTAAAACTGTTGTACAATTATAGGACTGAATACTGTTTAATATGTATTTCGTTTTATTTTTCAGGAATAGGAGAATCAATGTCGAAAGGGGGTATGTTGGCATCAGCCATTGATTCCCCTAGCGCATGCACATTATAAACAAGTTCTCTGCTGCGTAATACTTTTCTACATAGTTAGCCAACGTCAATGGTGAGTGTAAGCGAGAAGTGCTAAGCGCTGTGTAATATCATGTTTCTACTCCATTGTTCAACGTTTTCATAGCTTAAATAAATATTTGCCATGTATATGGAAGACATTTTATTCTTCAAAAAACTAATGAGCACAAAAGAAGAAAATATACAATACCATAGTTGCAGCGTGACAAGTGTATTTTCATCCCACTGTAGTGACTTTATAGCAAAATCAACACCTATTGTGATTTTGTAATTCTGAGTGAAAGTACCTATAAAATAAATTTAAAAGTAAACAAATTTAAATTTTAACAAACATGTATATACGTAAAAAAGCAAATTTAAAGTTAAAATTAAAAAATGTGCAAACGTATAAAAGATTTAATTTTCGAACTAATCTACAATATCATTTAAATTCAGATAGCATAAGTAAATCAAGTGCAAAACCAAACCATGAAAATAAATTCACCAATTTAGCAAATTAAAATTAATCTAAAAAAAAAAAAATTAATGCATAAGTGAATTGACTGTTGTTATTTAAATTAAATTTATTTAAATTCAATTTATTCTTATAAAATAAATTACATGCTTGACTACAGTCATGGAATTATGTTAAATCCACAGACATAACAATGTATCAGGCATTTTATTAACAAAAGAAATTTAGATAAGCATCAGCAATGATTTCCCTGCAGATTAGTAGATATTTTGATATCTATTATCTCATCGACTAAAAAAGCTGTTTACCATTGAGCCATGAAAACTGGTGGAGATGTCATCAAGGTTTTGTCAGTTATTTCTGCAGAATTATGAAGGAACTGATGCTCCTTTATTTAAGAAACAATCAATATTCGACCACTTCATTTCTGAGCTTAATAAAAAGGTTTTATCAATTTCAACAATTTGTTAGGGCATCTGATTTTGCCAGAACTTTGTTTTAGAATACTGCAAGTACAAATTTCACACAGTTAATTGTTCCAATCTATTACTGTTTTGCTGGCCATATATTCAGCTGATCCTATCGTGTCCACTAATACACACTATATGTTAGGATCCCATACGTCTGAAAATAACCCACTGTTTGCCTGCTGAAGAAATCTTCTGAAAATAATTCACTGCTACTTGATATGTTTGTTGAAGGCAGGTCTCAAATTTTACTATATATTTTTCAAAATGCAAGAATAAAACATACTACAAACAGTAGTATAGCCTACTATGGCCTTGTTCATTAAAACAAAATGTGGTTTATAGAGAAGCAATTGGGAATGAAAGCAAGAGGTTATGAGTATTGTTATGACATGATTATCCATAATTGCTGTTTGGCAACAATGGGACAATACATAAGTTCCAATATTTTATGTATATTATTGGAATATAAATTTTCTCAACAGTTCCGTGGCCTAAATAAAAAATGCAGTTTTTATATTCTCATAAAATAAAAGCAAACAAGTCATGGAGTTCATATTTCCTTTTTTCCTATTGGCATTAGTGGTCAGTCTACGACAGTCCAGGTCCCCTATAGTCTATCAAACAGAAACAATATGTTGGGAAGATTGCAGTGGAAAGAGCAGTTTATTTATATTGTGAAATCCCATATAACAGTTGCAGTTTTTGAACAACATTCAGCAACCGTATCATATTGGTTTCATAGTCTTATAAGGAACTGCAGTTCTGTACCAATTGTGTGTTAAATGAATGTTAAAAAAAGTTATGTGAACACCTCGCTACACTTTCATTTGAAAAAGTAATTGCAAGTTAATCAAAGATTTTCTTGCATGATTGATTTGGAGAAAGATAATGCAGCTAGAGACTTTAACTTCAACTCTAAAGTTATGACAGTCTCATTTGATAAGACTGACAAAAGTTAAAATAGCACACTTCATCTTCCACATGAGGAAAAACAATCCTTGCTGTGTTTGTGGAAACATGTCAGAATCTAAGACTGTTTGGGGCTCTATATTTGACAGTAAAATTTTCATTTCAAACATTTTCATTTTGCATTTAGCAACACTAACTTTTACTTTCTCAGGAATTTCATAAAAATGTTCGGCTATTTCTTGCACTATATTGCTATTCAGATTTAAATGACATTTTATTGAGTGATACTGTCAGCATTTCCAAATCATCACTCCATTTGTAGTATGAAAAAATAGATATTCAACACTTGTCTGTCTGTTTGAGATGATTGAAAATTCTAAACCTTACCTTAAAAAAAAAAAAAAAAAAAGGACAATGATTCCCAGAAGTGATAAATAAGTAAAATAAATACATTTCAGTTACTGGAATACTTAATTTGCATGAACACCACTAATACTGGAAGTCAAGAGCATCAAAAATGCTAGAGCCAGATCTGACAATTGCACAGCCACTCATGCACGGTAATAGACCAAACTTTACTGCTATCTCAGAATTGCACTCTATTCATAAGAGTACCAGGTTTCATCTCTAGTGATGAAATACAGCAAAAGAGCTTTTCTAGCAAACTCAAGTGAAGAGGTTCTAAGCAAACATCAACATATCTTTAATTTTAGGCAAGAAGTAATTTTTTCCCACATCTTTTTAGAGTTTCAGCTCATGAATGATGTGATAGGTCTCAACATTTATGTCTGATAGTGATACCAGTTTCTTGATTGGGAATGCATCAGTTTTCTCCTCTCTCAATCTCCACAGCTGCAGTATGTTGTCTTTCATAACTGATAAATCCAAATGAAGAGCATCTTCCATATTAGTGATATTAGTCTTCATTTATTCAGTCTGTTCATACACTTATGTACAACTCACATACCTGTCACTATATTGAATTATGATTAGATGATGAGTCCTACAGATTTCATTCCTTCACTGAATAAAAATCTCCCAACAATTAACCATTCTTGTTTGATGTACTTAAAAGGATAGGTTTAGTTTATTTGATTACAGCAAAGCATGCGAAGGCTATCTGCCTAAGGGAAGGGCTAACTTAGTGGTAGACTTTCTATGAGAAATTTGCTTATATCCACATTGCATGCGGAGAGAACCATGAAAATGAAACATGCAGCCTAGAATTGTAGGCCTGTTTGCCTAGAATCAAAATCAGGTCAAACTACCATGTGTTCTGTGACTTTACCACTCAGCCATTTTGGTAGGTTTAAAAAAAAAACATCTCCATCTTGAATTTGTTGCCATGAAAGCTGTAAGTATGCGAATACCATCTATTCTTGCCTTGCATACTCAATATCTACTGTACCTTTGATTCTGAATATGATTTTTCTAGTTTACTACTGAACATCATAAAAAAATATTTCTATTTTTAAATACTTTACATAAAACATTTTTAAATACATTACCTAATACATTATTGCACACAAATCTATCTTTTTACTCAGTAATGAATCCCAAAAAGGAGAATGTAAGATAAGTATTTAAAATAATGAAACAAATTAAGTTTAAAAAAACTGCAAATATATGTTTACTGATAACTCAAAAGTTTACAATTATTAAATCAACTACAATTGAAGCAATTTAAATGAGCTTGTAATGTCATAAATCATGAATGCACTTACCTTCTGTGTATCGTCTAATTATAGCAGTTTTACCTGCAAAAGTGTGTTTAAAATTATTGTTAATTTACCAGTTTATTTTTTGTGAACATAAATACAACAGAACATAAAAGAAAATATATGTAATAGTATTACACACAATGGTATTCTCACAACATATGATCTACTGGACAGTGTTAACAACTGGCCAGCATATCCAGGCCCAACATGCCCCATAATTGTTTTCGGTTATGTAGTGATGAGTGTCCAGCTTACATACTCTAGACCAGTGGTTCTCAATCTTTTGGATAACACATACCATCTAAACAAAAACTGAAAAATTTAGTACCACCACTACAAAGTACTACTACCACCACCACTCTTGAAGAAAGCTCAGATCGCATAAATTTATGAGTGTTAGAGAAAAAACTGAGTCAGGATGTTGGGGTTTTAATTTTAGAATTTAATCGTCCAAAATACTTTTACTTCTTTGCGTGCCACCTATTTTTTTCTTGCGTACCACCGGTTGAGAAACCCTGCTCTACACCGGTGTTTCCCAAACTTTCCCCATTACAGAATATTTTTTAAATTTTACTGTTTTAAGAAACAGTGAATTTGGATCTTTCATAATAAATGGTACTAAAAACATATAACACAGATATAAGTTAAGGTGAATTCTGAAAACATTTTGCTGACTATGTAAGCTATCTGGTATCTTATGTTACATAACTAATTATTTAAACCTCTTATGCTTCCTCTTTAAGTTTCTTTTAAGAGTCGTTTTCAAACTGTATTAAATATGTTAGTCTCATTGATCTTTTTAAAAATTACATAGTTTTACCTTATGCAAATTTTAAGATACCACTTAATGAAAAACTGATATAGTTTCTGCTGACTGGCTCATCATGTATTGTCAATAATGTATAAATTACAGAGTCAATTGACTCCATATGTACTTTTGTTTTTGATTCAGTTTTATTGCAAAAGAGCTGCTGGTGCAGCCTAGTTAGTTTTAGAAGAGAGAAATAAGCTTTATTTATTGTTTTTAGTTAAGCTGTAGAGTAATTAGGTTATTTGGAAGTGGGAGATATGAAAAATGAGCAATGCTCTCGCTGAGACTCAAACCACAGTCCTCTCGGATACGTGTTGAGCATGCTGACCACTACACCACGAAGGCATGCTAAAAAAGCAGGAGAAATAACTTATATACTACCCCTTTTAAAGGGCGAGTGGGGATTAGGGGACCCAACCATCAAATCATAGTGGTGGAGAATCATCATCTACCACCCTTTTAGTTCGGGCACCATTGTAGAGTCATTAGGTTATTTGGAAGTGGAAGATATGAAAAATGAGCAATGCCCTTGCCGCAACTCGAACCATAGACCTCTCAAATACGTGACAAGCGTGCTCACCACTACACCATGAAGGCAGGAGAAATACCTTATAATGGTCCTGTTCTTTACTTCTGCTAACAGCAAAGTATGCATTTTAACATATTTCTTCAATCCCTTACTGAGAAAATGCATAAAAGCAGATTACTTTTTTTATCCTCTAAACTAAGAATTCATAATTTCTTGTGGAACACTGTTTGCGAAATGCAACTCTAGACAAACATGAAAACACGCATCTGTTGGAAGCACAACATGATTCATCAACAGATCTGTTTTGTTGATCCTGTTAGTGATGCTAATATTCAGATAACAGAATGTTTATAGGTCATCTTAACTCTTTGAAATCCAGACCCTTCGCTAACTTATACCCTCAAAATACCGAACCGCCTGAAACAGTTTTCCAGTTCCACAGCGATTTCCTCCCCTTGCCATCCATTAACTCAGAAAATAGGTGTGAAGATTTCGGATGACATCCTTTGGCATTCCATTAGCCTTTGAGCCCATTCTTTATAAAACTATTTTGAAGGTCAGACCAACAAGCCTTTCTGGCTTCGTTTATGATCACGACTGAGATTTTGTTTATTTCCGTTATTTTTATGAGAAGTAATAAATTGTTTAAAAATAAATATAATTCTTAAATTTTTAAACTGCTCTTTTATTGCTGTTTAAAGCTTAACAGCACACTGAACCACAAAAAGATCAACAACGAAATATCACGATCAATCAAAAGATAAGAAACATCTTAGGACAAGCTGTCTGCAGTAAACCGATACAATGCATTTGGGAAAACTGCACCTGTTACTGCATATCTTAGGGGGAGGGAAGAAAACAAGATTACAATTTCGGCCATTTCCGGGCTGTTCTGGTTGTTTCAATGTAGGGCTCTGTCGGGTGGATTGGATGTGAAGGACTTAAACAAAAAAATGTATATGCTATGAGAGGAAAAACATTTGTAATGCTATAACTTATCTTGCTGAACTGAAGATCTGTTAAAAATGGGAACAAATTTCTGCCATGTTGCAATACATCCGGACAATGTTTGTGCGAATGTAGATTAGAGATGGCTAGCAGCGTTGTTTTATGCCTGATTATAGAAGTAAAATGATGACTATAGACAAATATGACAGTAGGAATGCTTCAATTGAAAGATGCCAAATAAGATCACTGGAACTATTATTTAATGTACTTAAAGTATAATGACAACTATTGATGGAGCTGATAGATCCTTTTTAAGACCAAATCAGTCCATTTGTCTGGTAATGCAGTATAATTTAATGTATTAATTTGGTAACATAATTTGTATGTATAATTACTTGTTATTTATTTATGCCTGCTTTTCATGTGGTTTAGTATGGCAATGTTATCAGTTTCTTTGGTTTTGATCAGCAGCTGTTTTCAACGCCCAGGGACAAATGAAGATTTTCAGCCCCTCCCTTCTGTTTGCCAAGAATGCAAAATTTTTCATTCTAAAATTCATAACATCAATTTGCCACCCCCTGGATGCTGCACCTGGGAACAAATGTCCCTCCTTGCCCCCTCCCCTCTAACTATGCCACTGGTTATGATCATGATTCATGGATGGTAGTCACTTGTTGTGAGAATACTCATATATTTTTAATACATATTTATTACATACAAAATTAGCATTTATTAAAAACACATATTAAAAATAAAAGCTATTAAGCTGAAATTAAATTAAAAACTTACCAAAATAAACACACATAAAAAAAAGGTAACTACCAAAATCATTCATTAAAAATAAAAATCGCTAAAATTAAAATTTGAACGTAAAATTTGAACATTTCTGAGCTTTCAGAATTTATATTTTTTTTAGAAATGTACTTATTGATAAAAAAATAATACAGCAGAAATATTATGTAAAGGATTTCAAAAATTCTTTTTTAATCTTGAAGATGGGAATTTTTTTTTTTAAATTATGCAAATGAGTATTCTGTTTTCCTATACAAGGCTTAAGATATTTAATACAAACTAAATTTTCAGCTGATCTTTGGAATATGGTAACTGGTAGTTTGGCGTCATTTTGGAGGCGATAAAGGTTACTACCTAGGACTTTGGTAATAATGCGAGAAGCACTCAGTTCTGATTACGCATTATTTTGTGTGAGGGAAATGAGAGATCATGAGATATGTCATGTGACATTAATGGACGAATTACAGTTCTTTAATCGGAAAGGGAAGGGGAATTTGGAAAACTGCTGTACTATATTATTTTGTATTAAGCTTCATTACGTGTTGTGTGAAATAGTGGATGTGTGCATGTCACGTAATGAAGATTCTGAAGATTACGTAAGTTAGTATTTTTAATCATTTGAGGATATTATTTTTATGCATTGTTCTAAATGTAAGGAGTAAATAAATTAATATATTATTGGAAAATTGTTATTAGCAATGATTTAGTTTAGTAATTAGTTAGTTAAAGTAATTAGGATTGTAATCTAATTTTTATTAATTTAATGTGCTTATTTATATTTTAAGTAGTGTTTTTTTAATTTAATTATATTTTAATTTAATGATCGTGATTTTGTGAGTTATAATGTTTGTAGTATTTTGGAATACGTTTGATTAGAATACGCTGAGTATTTTCATGCATTTTCGTGAAATTTTTCTAATTTATCAGAAAAAAGCAGTGTACATGGATATAGTGAAGAGTGTGCTCAATGCCGTTTTTGTGCAATTCTGGGATGTTTTTTTAAGTAAAAATAAGTCGACGTGTACATGGTTTAGTGATATTTTAATTAAATGATAGTTATTTTGTGAATTTTATGTTTGTAGGAATTTGGTATACGTTTCAGTTGAAGTAAACGTGTATGGAAATAATTTAAATATTTGACACTAAGTATTTGTAACCATTTGTAATGTTTGCGGTATGAATTCGTTGGTGACGTTTATAATATAATAGATAATTTAGAGGTAAAAGTTTTTGGATATTTTATTTATTTTATACGTGGAAATGTTCATCCTTGGAAAGGGTATATACTTTTTCGCGATCAGGTAATTTCATATATGTGCTTTTTACCGAGTTTAAAGATTCACAGAATTTTTTTGCATTTTCATGCAAATTTTTGTAATTTATGAGAAAATAGCAGTGTAGATGGATAAAGTTAAGAGTGTGTGCAATGCCATTTTTGTGCAATTCTGGGATGTTTTTTTAAGTAAAAATAAGTCGATGTGTAAATGGTTTATGTGTATGTGCTATTCTGAAAAACATGCGAGGAGTTTGCGATTGTGCACTTTTTCCCAATTTTGCAGTTAATATTTGTCATGATTAAGCAGTTCTGTTACATAAAATTTCTAGCATAAGTGTAATTCGGCTAGTAGATTGTTGGAAAAAGTGTTCAGTAAATAAAAAGAAACATGTCTTTACTTCGTGAAGATAAAATGGCGGCGAAAAAAAAAAATAGAGGATTGCTGTAGCAGAGTTGGTTGCCAAATTTTCGCCAAGTTACCATAATCCAAAGATCAACCAAATTTTCTTATATAAAATATAAGTGATGAATTTACACTTTTCTTAAAATCTTATATTTAAAAATTACTTATGATTTAAAGTTATTACAAATTAATAAAAAAATTTAGTCTATCCATGATGAGAAGAGACTTGATCTGTTGGGAAGGTTCCCTCCAAGCTTGCAAACAAATGAATCTGAATTTTATTGTTATAGAGCATGAGCTATTAGCCTTGGGTTACTCTAGGTAAGCCTATTGGTTTACCTAGAGTAAGATACTAGGATCGTCTGACATTACATGATGTAGGTACAGAGAAATCTCTTCTGGCAGATAGATTCTACATTTTTGTAAAATTTTATTGCTTTTTTTTTTTTTTTTTTTTTTTTTTGTAAAAAATAAAAAGAATACATTTCATGCTATTTTTTCTTTTAGTAAATAATTAGGATTACCAAATATCCAGGACTGGCCTGGATCATCCTGGATTCGTAATTATGTCTGCAGCAGTGTGCTGGGAAGTAAAAGTACAGTGTTTATATAGAAGATGAAAAAGAAATAATTTGTAGAATACAGGAGATTAATTCCATAAAATATTAGTAATGCTATTACTGAAATGCAGAATTTACGGATAACATTGAAAAATGTACTGGACCCTGACGAATAATTTTATTAATATGAATTCATCTACATCTTCACAATAGGCCGACCGGCTATAGAATACACACAACCTAGCTTTCAATATTTCGTTGAAGATGCATAGAGATACAGTTGGATCAGAGGAGGTAATATTGAAGAAAAAAAATTATGTCAATAAATTTTTATTTAATTATTCAATTTGGAGTATACAGAATATGTGGGAGTTATAGATTTAATTGTGCATCAACATAAAGACATCTATACATCCATAAATTAAAAAACACACACATTTTTTTACTCATTTCTTGGATGAAACAAGCGTTCTATGTAGACACCCCTGAGAAGCTGACATTTAAAACTTACAAGGTGTAGGCATTTACTTTTTTTATAAAATCTCAAGTTAAGTTTCTTAAAATATGGTAAGTCTATAAACATGCACATGCATGTGATATTAAGGGAAATCTACATACATTAGATACCATATGGAAATACACATGTACAATTAGGGAGCAGAATAGCTTAACTGATTTTGGACAGGGAAAATGATAATTTCTTTTAAAATTTATGCTAAACTTTCGTTTTTTGAAAAGAGAGGTTTCACAATACATTATAACAGTAAATATATACATTAAAAAAAATTAATCGATGAACACAGTTCACATACTTTCATAATATTCACAGCATTATATATACATAACATTACCGGTACAGGCAAAATCTGTAATTACCAAATTTTTTATAAAAATCAAAATATTCTGATACCAGTAATATTTATACGACTGCTAGCAAGTAATGAATCTATATCCAAAAATTTCTATAAATGAAAACAAGTACTAAATGCAGGTTTGAGACAAGGAATATTTTTATTAAGAGCTCCTAAAGTAATTACTTTCTAATTTTAAGCAAATATAAAATTTTCATTATTATTACATACTTAGAAAACATTCATGTTCATGAATATTACACAGAAAGAGGAAAAATTTTAAAGGATGCATACCTACACCATAATCTCCGACAACTAATAATTTAAACATAAGTTCTTTCATTGTATACCTTGATTCATTTTGATCTTCAGTCTCTTCTGAATAAGTAGATGGTGTGAAATAATTATTCATTTTATTTCTAAAAAAGAAATTAAAAAAAACTGTAAAATTTGAGTAAATGACATTAACAATAAAATTAACAAAACAATTTAGGCATGTCTTAAAACTGAAAATTTGGTATTTTCTCAATTTAGTAATGTTTAAAAGAGGTATTTTTAGTTTATTTTCTCATATATCTGTGCTATTAAATACTGGTAAACAAAATGGAAGTAGTAATCAGAGTTATGCAAAACATATATGCACATTTCTGTAGAGTTGGCCCAGTTCACTTTGAAGTACAGTGGATGCTAGTTAATCCGAACTAATCTAAAGGCCCCCCAAAAACTTGTATTGGAATTAATGTTAAAAAATATCTCATTAATTCAAACTAAATTTTTACCACTTACACTAATTAGAATTAAAAATTTCTTTTCCCTCGTTTAACGGAGAAAATAAATGCTGTATTTATTATTTTGTGTGTCAATATCATATGTATTTCTTTTCTGTGTAAAGAGGCAACATGCCTGCATTCCTAGATTATTGCATTTCCACTAAACATTAGTGGCTATTGTCTTTCTGTCCATTTCTTATCAATGCTTAACGCACAAAGCTCCCTTGCCTAACCTGTTTCATTCGATTCATTCAGAACCCTTTATGAATGGATCAGGGTAGGGCAAGAAGCATTTGTTTATTTGTTACCAGGTTTCTTAGATTTTCAGAAGCACAGTCTCTACTACAGATTCCAGAAAGCTGCGTCAGTTATACCTGAAGTACAGATAAGTTAATGTGCTCTGACTTTTCTACTCAGGGCAAGAAGCATTTGTTTATTTGTTACCAGGTTTCTTAGATTTTCAGAAGCACAGTCTCTACTACAGATTCCAGAAAGCTGCGTCAGTTATACCTGAAGTACAGATAAGTTAATGTGCTCTGACTTTTCTACTCAGTGGCATGAATGTGTAAAAATTCAGGATGCCTACACATGAAAAGTAGAGAACTCTAACTTTGGAGACAAAGACAAAAGTTTTAAAGGAAGTAGAGAATGATAAATGTAAAACAAAGTTAGCAGCTGACTATGGAATTTAAAGAAATACCTTGTCAACTTATTTGACAAATAAGGAATCAATTTTAGATTCATGGGGAAAATCTAAATTTGCTAGATGAAGGAAATGCATCCCAAGATCCAGAAAAAGTTCTGCTGCTATGATCGTAGGAGGGAGGCTAGATCTCGAAATTTTCTGATAAATGGTCTCCTATTGAAGATGAAGGCTGATGAATTGGCAAGTTGAATGGGTAGTGAAGATTTTAAATGCAGTGATGGATGGCCTTTCTCAATTTAAGTCAAGGCACAATATTTCTTATCAAACTGCTTGTGGCCAAAGCTCTGATGTAAATGAAGACATATGCACTAATTTCAGAAGGAAATTACCAGGGCTTTTCTCTACGTACCTGCTGAAAGTTATACCACCGCATGTTTATCAAAACATGACAACTTGAGTAATGACTCATGTAACGATGCCTAAACATTTTTTTTTTTTTTTTTGTGTTAGTAATTGAATAATAAAGGAGTATGGTAACCTTTTATGTTGACATTACGCTTGGCGATTATTACAGATTTAAGTTAAATGCACTAAAAATGTTGATGAGGAAAAATTTACAAAAAATTTCTTTCCATATGCTAAAAATATATTTTGTTGATGATATTCATAGACCCAAAGATTACATTTAGGGTTATTTGAATTATGAATAACTCATTTACTAGTCACAGAAATCCAGAACCTGTGCCAGGGATCATATGGCAGCACCGAGTCGCAGAATTTAGGACCCACAGAGACTGCATCACGCAATAAGATATCTAGTGCCAGCCTTCAATAATATATATTCTCTTAAGTATGTACGGGAATTTATTTATTCAGAACTCTGATAAGCATGTGCAAGAAATAGACATAAGTATAATAAATAACTAAACTAATACAATTCAGGCTTAATTGTCTCAGTGTGCAATAGAAGCAAGATAAAATTTATCAAACAACTTGCCGTTAATTGCCAAGCTCCATGATGCATACCCAAATATGTATAGTGAAGGTGAAATTTTCCAATTAACGGATTTTGTAAAGAAATGTGGAGAAGCGAAAATAAATGAAGATGATATAAAAGAAGTTTTTCATTATGATGACAATGCTTTTCAATCATCAATCAATTAATGAATGGGAAATCTGTAGTATGTATCCCACTTATTGAGGGCAGGCACTAGGTATCTTACCGCCTGATGTGGGTCCTAAATTCTGCGACTCACCGTGGCCATACGAGGCCTGGCGCTAGTTCTGGGTTTATATGAATAACAAATCTGTTATTCTTAATTCAAATAGCCCTAAATGTAATCTATGGGTCTATGAGTATCATCAGCAAAATCTATTTTTAACATACGTTAAAGAAATTTTTCGTCAACATTTTTTAGCGCATTTAACTTAAATCTGTAACCATCGCCAAGTATGTCAACATAAAAAGTTACCATACTCATTTATTATTCAATTGCTAACATAAAACTTCTTTAGGTATCGCTACATGAGTCATTACTCAAGTTGTCATGGTTGGATAAACATGCGGTGATGAAAGGAAAGTACAGTCAAAAGTCAGTAATCCGGACTCGTCAGGACTTCGGTGATTCCGGCTTATTGATTTTTCCAGATTATAGATCATCAGTTTAAATCTGGTAAGATGGCATGCAGAAATTATAAAATTAAAAATATGAAACCGTAATTTATGAAATAAAGAACAATTATGATCTAAAGGGTATCAAAATTTACACACACACACACACAAAAAAAAAAAAAAAAAAAAAGAGCTTAATATTTATTTTTTTACTTTATTAAACAATTCTTTCAATGTAAGTTGTTTAAGTTGCTTCATTTTTTATGTGATAATACATTCTCTTTAATTCTATAGACAGACATAATTTCTTGTTCAGTTACAAAGTTCCGCTGTTCAAGTCCTCTAATTGCTGTGTCGAGAATACGGACTAATTTGTCAATCGAAATTTTTTCATTTTCAATAACCTCTGTCACTTTCTTCACTATCGGAAGTGAATTATAATGACGAGGAATTTGATTTAAATCATATCAAAGACGAAGTACATCGAGATGAAATACTACATTTAGTAAGGAATTATGAGCCAAATAAAATAAAAACATCTGCCCTGAAGATAAGGATAGTGCTGACAGATCAACTTCCAATTCATTGCGCGCTGTGGCGTTAAAGATAAACAAACATTAAAGTTTAGATAAACAAAGGATATGCCTTTATCCATTTTTTGTTTAATAGACTACAAAACATACTTTCGCTTTGTAGATCCTTTACATATTAGTAAATATATATCAGAAATTCTATTTGACATAATTGAAAGTTCAAGCTTACTTTTATAAAACTGCTCTAACAGTCTGCAAAAAATAATAAGCCGAATCCAATTCGAAGATTAAGGAACAACGCAATCTGCAACATTAACTGAATTAGATAATTTTAGCTTAGCTTATACCGTCCATTATACATTAAACGTGCATGCATAAACGTATTATGCGCATGCGCACACACATATTCGCAGCCGTAAAGGTCATACGCACATGCGTCAGCGCGACCCATGCGCAGAAAGTTTGTAGCTTTGAGGTCCGGATTATAGATCATTCCGGATTATGGATGTCCGAATTAACGACTTTGATTGTATAGCAAATAATGATTCGCGAGATTGGCATCATCTATCAGGTTGGTGATGCATTTATGTGGAATTTTTCGGTTTGAGATGTGTGCCAAGCAGACATGCAGCAACGTAGCCAAATTACTGATCGTACAAATTTATGCTAAAATGATTGTTTCGGTTTGAGATGTGTGCCAAGCAGGCACGCAGTAACGAAGACAAATTACTAATCATACGAATTTATGCTAAAATGATTGTTTCTTGAATAACAAGGTATTTTATTTAGTGTCAAAGTGAAATTAAGAATCGAGACTCTAGATGTTTTATTATGCATGGAAGGGGGGATCAAATGCACGTGCATAAAACCTACGAAAAAAAATTTTGTTGGTGGTTTTTGAGGTCCAGATTTTAGATCATTTCGGATATTGGACATCCGGATTTCGGACTTTGTACTGTATAAATTATTAATATTTTACAAGATTTTTTTTTCACTTTCACATTTATAACTTATTTAACAAATGAAAGGAAACAAGGGTCTCTCTGTAGACAGAAAACGAAAGCAGCCTATCAGATGTATATGAACAAAAAATATTTTTACTGTGGTTGATGCAAAAATAAATACTACAGATCAATTTGCAAATGGTCTGCAACAAATTTTTAAAAGATACATTCTCCTTTAATAAAATGACAGTTGAGCATTATATATTTTTAAAACCTGCATTTAATTCATTAACTTTGCATTTACAAATCTGCAAAATTGTTTGGATGAAAATTGGTTTATAGGTTTAGAACATAATACAAATTGAAAAACAAATTATTCTTTAGCACAATAATTCTTTTGCAATCATTTTATAGTATACACATTTGTTTCCTTTAGTATATACCAAAAAATAACAAATGCAAATGTGAAGATGCTGATTTATGGTTTATATGTAATACAGATGATTTAAAAATCAGTCAGTTTCTGTCATTGCAATTACTACAATTGAGATCAAGACTTATTTAAGGGGACAACATTTTTATATATTATTTTGTAACACATATGTGGTACTCTTCTGTTATCAGGACCAGATTCAGAAATGTATGTATTGCATGTATACATAAAAGTACGTGTTCATGTATGCATAAACACATGTACACACACATAAAATAAATATATGTGTAACGTATATGCACATAATACAAACATGCATACATTTCTGAATCCAGTCCTAATAACAGAAGAGTATCCATATATTTTCTTCATAAAAACACATGTTTAATTTTTTAAAAAGGAGCATTTTGCATCACAATTTTTTATCCAGAGTAGTAGGCAATGGAGGTGACTATATGACTATGTAAAACATTTTTGCATATTTTGGGGATCCAGCAAATACTGTACAAGTCAAGGTTTCAGGTTCTAGACTGGTTTTTTAATAGGATTACTTTGTAGAATATTTTTGGTACCTCTTGATTATGTATACCTTTATGAAAATTCAACAACTCTGGCAACTTTGTAAATTCATGAAAGCATTTGCTTGACTGTCTTTATGGGTAAGTATTACTCTATCCAAGAAAGATAACATAAAGACAAATTTTATGACAAAAACAAAAGTCTATATGGCTGATATTAACACTTTTACAGTCAATGGATACTTGGCCAAAAATATTTAATTAAATGTAAAGCATGCAAATTTATGCAAAATGAAACATATATATGATACACACATAAGGGAATTGGCTATTGTCAAATGTATACTCAAAGGCATGTCCAAAACATGGCAGTTCTACTGAATGTTGAAACAGGGTTGCAAACAATTAGAAAGTACCCATTTTTCATGCAAATTTCAATGAAAGGTAGTGTAAACATTAACAGAAATTAAAAATCAACAAGAGGGAAATGAAATATATACATTTATCTGATACTTGCAAAATCTCTGAGAATTTCTTATACATTGGAAAATTTACAATGTTAAAGTTTCTTATTTTTATTTGTAATCCTGATGAGAAATCTCTCTCAACAATTTTTATTACAATGCTGCTTTTAACATATCTTTTGGAATAAACAAATAATGCTAATATTAGTTTGATTTCCAATTTGATAATAATGACTAATTGAGTTTTATAACATCGCTATAACCAGGCTATATTTACAGTAAACAAATATAAAATACAAATCAAGTTAAGTCTTATAAACCATGACGGTACAGTACATATATATGAAAAATCAAGTAAATGCGAGATCTCATCTTAGAAAAATTTAAATAACTAATAAGTCCAGAATTTGTATATTGGAAAGATGAAAGCAATATTAATTTTTTAACAAACTGTAAAGTATACGAAATAATTAAATGAAGAATCTAACTGAAACAAAAATTCCTTATGAAATGATATTAAAATTCGCACGTGTACACTTGCAGATTATATGATAATTTAAAAATTCTGCTGATTAAAAAGTGCAGTGGATTTCCTGATTATAACTAATAAAAACAAAAATTCAATAAATTTAATAACACTTAAAAAACATGCGTAGGAAAAAAGTACACATAGAAGCAAAAATAACAATACGAAAATAAGAAAAATATCAATAGGAAAGCCTAACTATGAAGAATATTTACTTTTACACGTGATTTAAAAATAAATTCGTTTCATCTTAATAAGCTAAAAAAATAATCCAATTTATTATACACGTTAAGAAGTTCAATTTAGGCATTTCAGAAATTATTAAAAAATATTTAGGCGTAAAAACCACGCTCATAGTAGGTGTCAAGTAGTACCAGGAAAAGCTACTCACGGAGACGAGGAGCATAAACAATTGAGTAAAATAATTATTTCAAGGAAGAAAGACGACGGCTACAAGAAACCACATATTAAATATAAATACTTACAGTGAGATAAATATGTCACGTCAGTTTCAAATAAAGTTTTCGAGTTCTAGTGACCCACGATCTTCGGAATGAAATCTATTTCAATGTCCCGCGTCAAGTGTCGATCCAACAACAGTACCACGCTGGCTCTGCGAGTTTTAGCGATGAATCATCATCATGTTGCCACAAAAATTCGCGGAAGTTATCGCAAACCACAAGAATTTACCTGAGCTGAGACGTTGCCAGATCTTGGAGTAAAATCAATACGCGCACCTGTGGGAAAATTCTTAGGTTCAGAGTTTCGGACGTGGCAAGAGAATTCTAACGCATTAAGTTTTCGATAAGATGATGCTTAAATTTTTTTAAATTTATTAATGAAAAGTGTTTTTATGGTTAAAAAAGCCATTTGCAGTCAAGGTCGTAATAAAACATGTTTATTTTGAGTGGCATTTGAGGAAGTAATCTTTCAATAACTTTCAATACAATTTTTTATCGACTCCAGGTTTTAACTACATCATCAATGCAAGTGCGATTTACCAGATAATGTTCATTCCGCTTAAACTAAGTGGAAAAGCAATTTTAAAATCTGAGAAATAAGGATGTTTTTATTCTGGTTTTGAGGAGCATTTTCAATCTAAAGAAGTTAGAACTTAAATTTTTTTTTTTTTTTTTTGCAAAATTTATTAAAATTCCATTTTTTTTTTTTTTTAAATTTTTCTTTTCTTTCCTCTCCCCTGAACAGACATTTTTTTATAAATAAATATTTTCATACACAAAAAGTGCATGATTAATCTCATAATCAAACAAATTTATGTAACCAAACAATTATTTGATTAGCAAGGCACATAATGCACGATGTTAGAAATGTGTTTCTATTAATTACATCTACGTCGTAAATCCTTATAAAAATCATCAATTAAATATATTTTATAATACATCATATTTATGAATACTCGAATATATTAATAATATTTATTTAAATTATGGTAATCCTACATAAATTACTTTTGCGTTGACCACTTGCTATAGATGACCACTCGAAAATACTAGTATTTGGAAAATATAAATAAATATCGGCAATGAGCATTATCTCTCTAAACCGACCGTCTCCAGAGAAGACCAAAATAATCTAGAGCTAGACAGGGATTATTGTATTAATAAGTATATTGTTTTCACACATCTAATTTTTTAACTCAGATAAACAACATATTGCTGTAATTTGAAGTGAAATAATTTGAATTATGTAATTTGTATTAATTTAAATAATAACTGAAAACACAATTATAAATAAAAATAAATAACTGAAAATTAACTTTTATAAAGAGGCATACGTTGTAAAGCCTTTAAGGTGTCTAGGTGTCTAAGACACCTTAAAGTTGCTTTCAAGTGACACTAGTCTCTGAAAGCGATTAGTATTTCTGGAAGTACAGACTTAGATCTTCAGTTTCCCCATTGTAAGGTTACCACCTCTGCAGAAGATCCAGATCTCTAAAAACACAGGCAATCTGCCCAAGAAGGTTTCACTATGCATTTTTTTTTAAACAGTTCGGACGTTACAATGATAAGCAGTCATCTGCTGTAATTTGAAAGATAAATTAGAGATCTTACGCAAGGAGAATGGCAACAGCTCTCAGAACCTTAGGAGACCGCATAGATAATTAATACTGCAGTAGTGTAATCTAACGTAACGGAAAGTTAACGTAAAAAATGAAGGTGCTAGTCTGCAGATATTTTTATCAAGAAAAATAGCATTTTAATAAACTTTTTTTCTTTTTGGCCTTATTATTCAGAATTGTTTTCTTCTTTCTTATGCCACATACCATTCAGCAGCAAAATCACATTTTTACCAGCAGAATAGTAGCATATGTCTAGAATTCCCGATGCAGTGTAGGCATACATCTTTCAGTTTAAGTTCATCATAATGTTTTCTTAGTACGATAGTTTACTGAGCTTTCGTTTTCCTGTGTGCGTTTTTATTGCTAACGTTTTGTGTGTTGACTTGATTTACTAAATATCACGTTCTCCGCACTTACGCAACATAAAATTAATTTCAATAATAAAAATCGCAAAATGTTTAAAAACAACATACCTTTAGAACTTCCGATAGAGTGTTAGAAGCTGACATGCATACTTTTATATTCACTTTATCATTCATTTAGAAACTAGAACCTCGCACGGTAGCCGTCTAAAATAGTTACCATCAAAAAGTAAAAGTTTGTAATGATTTCAATGAGGCAAGGTAGCGTAATTTCATAAAAAAAAGTATATTTCTAATTGGACATCTCATGATATTAATACATCTTTATTTAAATCAATCACATTATAAAGAAGAAAACAAATACTCTTAGAAACTGTGTTTATTGCTTTTAAATTGCTTAGTTTATTACTCAGTGTCCTTCCAGATTAAATTTGAAAATATCTTAGATTTTACTGAATTGGTAACACACTTGCGCGTGGAGAATAAAAGTATTTTATCTTCGGCCGCGGCGACACATTACGTTCATAAAGCCCAGTTCGTTAATTAAAATTGAAAGATAAGTATCTTACATTTTTACGAATGGCAACAGTTTCGCGCGCTGAAGGTAAAAGTATTTTATTCCGAGCGGAATTGTCACATTTGCTTTCAGATCGTTGCGTTTGTTAATCAAAAATTCATTAAAGGTTTACAAAATATAAAGTAGATAATAAAACAAATTCGAAATTCTAGGGTTTCCAGGTGCACATCTTCGTTTGGAGGATTACGTTACTCAAAAACTTCATGGATCTAGGTATCGCCGTTTTATCACAGTGCAAGGAACACACATCCAAATTTTTCATTATTTAATTTCTTTAAAAGTTATACGGGGCGATAACATTTGATGGCGGTAATGTGAAAAGTGAATCAACTATCTAAAGTGAGCTGACATTTATTATGATAGCCAGCAAATTCCCGTTTCGATACTAATAGCCCATTTTGGTCTGGGTGGGGAGGCGGAATGTTTGAAAGGTCGTCCAAAAGGGTTTGTTTCGGTTTACATGATTATGGCAAAGCCACGAGGGCTATCTTTCTAAGGCCCATATCACATGGAGTTTGTTTCACGCGAACAACTGTTTCGGACAATTTTTCTGCCTGGTTTACTTTTGAAGAAAAGAGGCGCGACTTTTTCCTTCCTTTCCAAAAAAAAAATGCAGGTTTACGTTTTCAACCAATCAGCTATCAGCTTCGAATGCTATCAGCTTGTTTGTAATGGGGAACCAGTTTCCCCTGCGTTAACCCCAATGCGATCTGTGTTGATTGGCTGTTGTTACAAAGCAGAAAAATTGTTCCAAACAGTTGTTCTTCCGAAACAAACCGGCGTGTGATAGCAGCCTAAGAGGAGGAATGCCTTCGTGGAAGAATTTCTAAGAGAAACTGGCTCTTATATACATTACACATGGGGAAAAACATGAAAATGCCCATGCAGCCATAGCCCATTCTCAGGATTCGAACCTCGGACTGAACTATTAGTGTTAAGGACTTTACCGCTAGGCCTCTGGTATTTTAACGTTTTTTACCTTCTCGCTGAGCTTGCAGTCCGCCAGTTAACTTTTTTTTTTTTTTTTTTTGTCTTTTTAGCTTTGTTATTAAGCACCACACTACGCCAGTTCAACTGCAAAATTACAAAAATGTTAAAAGCAGTATATAACAGAATTACTGATTTTCGTTATTCGTTCCAAGGATTACAGAATTACTGCGTTTAGAATTACTGATGTAGTGTTAAGTGTTGGCATACACTTTTTCTATGTTCCCCCCCAGTCTTTTCTCTATTCATCATATCAATGTTCAGTTTTTCTTACTAAGGTGGCTTAACAAAACTTTTTTAGTCCAAAGGGATTTGAATCCCGAAGGACTATTAGTTTCGTTTTGGCATTTTGCGTCGGACTCATAAATGTCGGTTCACTTTTCAAACTGTTGCCACAAAATGTTAGAGTCCTGCATTATATTTGAAGAAATTAAATAATGAAAAATCTGCATAAATGTATGTATATTTCTCGTATTGTGATAAAACAACGGTACATAGAGTCATCGAAATTTTGAATAACGTAATCCTCCAACCCGAATATGAGCATGTGGAAGACCAAATTTGAAATTTGAAATTTGTTTTATGATCGATTTCCTATTTTTTAAAACTTTGACCAATTTTTGATTAACAAACTCAAGGATTTCAAAGCGAGCAATGGCAACGTATAGTGCAGAAAAAACATTTTTATCTCCAGCGCGTGAGACTCTGTATCGGAAATTCTAAAAGATATGCTCGTTTTTAAATATTTTGCGATATTTGCTGTTGCAGTTGAATCTTTATGTGGTTTAAGTGCGAGGAACATGATATTTAATAAAGAAAGGTAACACACAAAATGTTAAAAAACGCCCCTTTGGACGTAATTTAAAATCTGAAACATTTCAGATTTTTTTTTTTTTTGGGGGGGGTCTTTTAATTATTAACGTTTTGTGTGTTAACTTTATTTATTGAATACCACGTTCTTGGAGTTTATGCAACATAAAAGCCGATTCAACAGCAAAATGACAAAAATCTTTAAAAATAGCATATCTTTAGAATTTGTGATAGACAGTCTCGAGCGCTGGATATAAAAATGTTTTATTCCGCGCAGTGTTGCCACTGCTCTCTTTGAATTAGATAACAAAAGGCTGGCAGTCTACCACTCTGGCCAGTCTGCTGTTGCACTCATTCCTGCTTATTTAATTCTTTTTGTCTTTATTATAGCATAATTTTCTTCGCTCTTAAGCTACATGCTATTCAACAGTAAAATTACAAAAAATTTAATAGACTATATTTTGAATTCTTGATTGCAGTGTTAAATGCATCAAGAATATGAATCATATATTTTTTTCTAGAATCATATATTTTTTCTATTTTTTCAGTCTTTTATCATATCAATGCTCAATAAGATGTATTGCAAAACTCTTTTTTGTCTTTTTATTATTAACGTTTTTTGTGTTAAATTCATTAATTGAATATTTTCTGCGCAATTATGCCGCATAAAATTTAATTCGACAGCAAAATCACAAAATATTTAAAAGCAGCATGTCTCTAGAAATTCCGATAGACATTCCCGCGCTTTGGTGATAAAACTGTTTTATTCCGTATAGCGTTGCCACTCTGAATTCACTTCGAAATGGTTGGGTTTTTTTTT